CCTTCACCCTTGCCTTCACAGGCTTTTATTGGGTTCAATTTCCACAGGAATATAGGGTGTATATCTAAAGCTCATCAATCATTATCAGGCAGAAATGACTAAACAATAGATAACATTCAAAGAACTCTGAAGGCTTATTCTGAGTCAGACTCAGATAGTTAAAGGGCCATAAATCTTTGGGGAACAAACTCACTTCCTGCTTGCACCCTTATCATTAAAATTGAGGGTATTAGCAAAGTAGGTTTCATAGGATTTTATGTATTCTTTCTTAGTCCTGATTCTCTAGAAAACCCAGCCTTACCAGCACAGGGCTGCACCCACCTCCAGCAAAGTTTCAGGCTTCAGTCAGGCAGGGGAACTAAGATGCCAAGAGATTAGGAGACTTCTTGCAGACAGAATGAGGACTCAGGCTAAGTCAAAGCTGAGGGTTGAGGGTCCATCACCCCCTTTTCCTATAGCCCCCCAAGTCCTTCCCTGAGGGCCCCTTTGTGACCATGCCTGTCTTAGGTCATCCCTCCTTTGAGGAATTATACCTGTCATTGCCTAACCAGTCATCCACCCTGGGAGATGCAGGATGGATGCAATCCCCCCAGCTGGCCCCTCCTGCTCCTGCCCTTGCCTTCTCCCTGTGGTCCAGTCTGGCTAGTTGTATCATTAACATGTACAAACATATTTAGCCCGTGCAACGAAGCTACTTTCCTGATGAGGGTGTGATAGAAACAAGGGGAGCACACAGGATAGGAAAATGGGGAAATTGGACTGAGAGATCCTCAGCCTGAGGCCCTTTTAACCATAAACTGCAAAGGCAAGTCCAAAAGCATTCACTGAATGTCTCAGTGACCGCAAAAATGCCAACTGCAGCTGCCTTAGGTGGTGAATAATGACTTCTTTTCCTTTCATGCTTTTTCCTTCCTCACTGGAAGACATGTACTTGATTTTAGAGAGGGAGCAACCAAGAGAGAGAAATAGATGTGAGAGAAAAATCCATTTGCTGTGATCCACAATGTGTTGGTGCAAGGGACCATGCTCCATCTAAGTGAGCCACCTGGCCAGGGCTGACCAGGCTCACAACCCAAACATGTGCCCTGACCAAGAATTGAACTGGAAATCTTTCAGTTTGCTGGCTGATGTTCCATCCACTGAACCACACCAGCCAGAGCAATGAGAGTCTATATTTCCCAAAGAGTTAAATGAATAAAGTGTGATGCTTGTAAATGTAAAATATTACAATGATTCAACAAGGACAACTTACTACAGTGTAAATAAACTGAGTGAGCTGAATCCAGTTCATCTTTTGTCTGGGTGCAGCCCATGGTGTGCCCCGTTGAGTCACCCACGATCATGGAATCCTGTTGTGTTTAAAACTCAGTCAGGAGACCACACCATGGGCAGGGGATCTGTTCTTCCCTCCCGTGGGACATCAGCAGTGGCCCAAATGTGGCTGTTTCACCAAGACTCCTGTAAGGATCACCCCACAAGTAGAAGAGTCTGCTTCACTTTTTAAAATTTTGAGAAAGTGACACATTGATTTTTTTGTCCCACTCATCAAAGGACTCATTGTTTTTTTCTTGTAGGCACCTGACCAGTGATAGAACCTGCAACCTTGGCATACACAAGCAATGCTTCACTAACTGAGCCACCAGCAGGGCCCCACTTTCAGGCCAGGTGGGTAACCAGAGTGCTCTGTCAGTCCCATGGAGCACTTCAGTAGATTAGCAACTGTACAGAAGTGGGAGACAGTCTAAGTATTGATCACCACCAGATCGTACCCTTTTGGTGATGAGCAGGGCACTAGGCTACAGCACCATCAGCAACCATTCACAGAATCATCTCAAATACCAACCTGCACAAAATAGTTACTTGTTTCCCATTGATTAATAAAAGCTTTATGTATTGCTTTATTAATAGAGCATCATTTTTATATCACTTGCTATTTATTATTGGTAATAGGTCACCATCAACATCAGTAATGAAATATTAAGTAAAACATGACCTAGACTGTGGGTGAGGCATAGATTAGGTAATGCCTCCACTTGACTGAAGGTACTTTATTTTCTCAGGATGCTGTCATATGAGAGGATTTTTCTCCTGTAACTTAAATGGCCCTCTGGGGAGGGGGCAAAAGGTTGGGTTTCAACAAAACAAGCACTTTCTCCATCTCTACTACTGAAGGTCTGGATCCTGACACCTGGTCTGACCACACGCAAGTGAGGAATGTCAGGCTGGGAAGGACAGGTAGCCTCATACCTTGGGCAGGCTTGCTGGGTTCTGTAGGGAACCGCTTAGCCAGACATGGAAATGTGGCCCAGCAACCACATGGAAATCCAGTCGGGGGTGAGTCAACACACAAGACCACACCCAAGAAAAATCAGGCCTGCACCTAGGCTGCTTTGTGACTTGCTCTTGCTAAAATTCTCAACCTGATTTCAGACAGCAAGCCCTTGCTGCATATCTTTAAAGTAACTTCCTAGAGTCAGTGCAAATTCTCCCAAGGACTAAAGTGTAACCAGACCTGTTAGTCTTTTCATTCCCTTGCATTTGCAACATTTTCCAATGACTGAATTTACAAGTTTGGGTCCTAGCAGCCCTTGGGTGTCCCACTGTCTTAATCCTTATTTGTGCTTTATGATTGATACACATATACACACGTATGTATATAATTTTCTTAAGATCGCGTTCAAAATCAGCAGTTGCAGGTTTCACAGCCTTCACAACTGTGGTTGAATTCAAAAAGAAAAAATGGGAAGGTACTGGATACCTTCCTACCTGGTTCCAGGGGATATAAGACCCACCCGCCCCCCCCCCCATGGCTAAGGCTGAGTGACCTACCTTTGGACCATAAGCCACTAAGGAGACAAAGCTTATCTCCCTGGCAGGAGCACTGCTTGTACTCCTTTTTCCATTACTGGCCCCCAATGCTTGATCAGTTAGCCAATGATGGGTAATATTCAAAAGGGGGGAATGACCTAAGAAAGGCATAATCACGTGGAGGCCCCAGGGAAGGACTTGGGAGACTACAGCAAAGGCAGGTAATGGACCCTCGCCCTTGGCTTTGAACAAAGCCAGAGTCCTCATTCTGTCTTCAAGTAGTCTCCTAATCTCTTGGCTGCCTTGCTTCTTCTCCCTGACTTAATCCTGAAACAAAGAGGACCATGAAGCCCTCTGCTGGAAAGGACAGCTTTCCCTGGATGATCAGGCCTGAGAAAGAACACATAAACTCCTGTGAAACCTGCTTTGCTAAGAATGACCTTAATTAAATGATAAAGATCCAAGCAGGAAATGAGTTTGTTTCCTAAAGTTTTGTAGCCCTTGAGCTAACAGATCCTGACTCAGAATAAGGCCTCATAATTCTTTGTATGCAATCTACTGTTTGCTCCTTACTGCATGACAATGATTAATGAACCTTACCTGTATTCCTGTGCAAATTGAAACCCAATAAAAACCCGTGAAGGAATGGATCTGTGCACCCTCCCCTTCAGAGGGTAGCCCTGCTGTCCCTTTTCCTCCACAGGACACAGTAGTCCATGTGAATGTCTCATTTCATCCATGATGCGGACACCTTGCGCCAGTGTGTCCATCAGCGTTCCTGGGGTTTCGGTGGGATATTTGGATCCTCTCCCTTAAAGTGTTCACACTCAATTTGACAGGACAACCTGTACATCTACCTTTTGCACATGATTGTTTAAAATGACATTGGTCTCCCTTAAAGTTCTATTTTTAAAAAACTTACACAGCCCTGTGAGATACTATGGCATCTCTTGCAATTATTGTTAGTTCCCATGCTGAAAAAAAAAATTTCCTTGCCCTCATAAAATACCTGGCACCTTCTACTGTTGGAAGGATACTGGGGGATGGGTATGGGGTTAATGAGGACAGCCACACATGTGATCACCTGACCCTTAGACAAGATCCAGGCACGTGTCACAAAGTGACAATGACCCCATGGAACCTACCTCCACATCTTCCTTTCTCCCCTCCACTCTGCTATACAGGAAACAGAGACCAGACACGGAATGTGTTATCCAGCTCCTACAAGTTTACTTGATCTGGGTCTGGAGCCACAGAACCCCTGGCCACATTCCAGATACGAGACCTCTAAGGGGGCTAGCTTTGCACCTGGCCCTGTGGATGCTGGGGAATCAAGGGTGAGAATGTCTTGGTGTGTCCTCAACACCCATATTTCTAAGACAGGTCTGATCAGGACTTCTCTTGCTTCCTACCTGTGGGCTCCAATATCAAGTCTGGCACTGGCTCATGAGCTCAGGACCTAGCTAGTCGGGGTGGATTTGAAAACCCCCCAATCCCTTGCTTTGTGCCACATGAGGTAGAAATTCCTGCTGAAGGTTTTCCTGCACTTGCCACTCTGGTAGTAGGGCTTGTCTGCCACAGAAACCACTTGGTGGGTGGGGAGCAAAATGTTCCAGATGAAGGTTTTGCCGCAATTCTCCAAGGTGGGGCTAGTCAGATGATTTTGTAGAGATAAGCATGTCATGAAGTCCTTCTGGCAGATGGAGCCCTGGCAGGGGACTCCCCTGTATGCACTGGTCTGTGCTTCCTGAACGTGGAGTTCTTGCTCAAGTCTGTACTAGCCTAACATGTATGCCTTCTCCTGAGGGTACATTGTTTTTTCCCTAGGTTTTTAAGAAAAATTACTTTTAGAAAGAGGAAGGAAGAGAGGGAAGGAAACGGCAATGTGTGGTTGTTTCTGGAGCATCCCCCTACTGTGGACCTGGCCTAAACCCAGGCATGTGCCCTGACTGGGAATTGGACCAGAGACCCTTTGATTCACAGTCCAGCACTCAGTCCAAAGCCACACCAGCCAGGGATGAAATCTGCATTCTTTGATGCTCAGTGAGGTTCCTGTTCTGGCAACAAGCCTTGCCACAATCCCTGCATATGTACTGCTTCTACCTAGTGTGCATCTCATGATGCTCGATGAGGCACCTATTCTCTCTGAAGGCCTGGCTGGAATCCTTGCCCACATACGGTGTTCGCCCAATGTGTGTCCTCTGATGCTCAAGGAGGCTCTTCTTCACTCTAAATGATTTGCCGCACTCCCCACATAGGTATGGCATCTCCCCTGTGTGCGTCCTTTGATGCATAAGGAGGCTGGATTTCTGACTGAAGGCCTTGCCACAGTCACCACACACATATGGCTTCTCCCCAGTGTGCACCCTCTTATGCTCAATGAGACGCCTATTCCTTCTGAAGCCCTTGCCACAGTCCCCACACACATAAGGTTTCTCCCCTGTGTGGGTCCTCTCATGCTCAGTGAGGCTCTTCTTCACTCTAAATGACTTGCCGCAGTACCCACACAGGTATGGCTTCTCCCCTGTGTGTGTCCTTTGATGCACAAGGAGAGTGGATTTCTGACTGAAGGCCTTGCCACAGTCACCACACACATATGGCTTCTCTCCAGTGTGTGACCTGTGATGCAGGATGAGCAGACCTTTCCTGCTGAAAGCCTTTCCACACTCACTGCAGACATACGGCTTCTCTCCAGTGTGCAACCTCTGATGCACAATGAGTATCCAGTTCTGGCTGAAGGCTTTGCCACAGTCCCCACATGTGTGCAACTTCTCCCCTGTGTGCATCCTCTTATGCTGCATGAGACGCCTATTCTCTCTAAAGGCTTTGCCGCACTCCTCACACACATAAGGCTTCTCCCCTGTGTGGGTCCTCTGATGCACATTGAGACTCCATTTCTGGGTAAAGGTTTTCCCACAGTCCCCACACGAGTGCAGCTTCTGCCCAGTGTGTCTCTTCTCATGGAGGACGAGGAACCATTTGTTGACGAAGGCCTTCCCACACTTCCCGCAAATGTATGGCTTTTCTCCAGTGTGTGTCATGTGATGGTCAATGAGGCGCCTTTTCTCTCTGAAGGCCTTGCCACAGTCCCCGCACACATAAGGCTTCTCCCCTGTGTGTGTCCTCTGATGCACAATGAGACTCCACTTGTGGACGAAGGCTTTGCCACAGTCCCTGCACATGTACGGCTTCTCCCCGCTATGCGTTTTCTCGTGCAGGACGACATACCTCTTCTTACTAAAGGCCTTGTCACAGTACCCACATGTGTATGGCTTTTCCCCAGTGTGCATCCTCTCATGCTGGATAAGGCTCCAATTATCTCTGAAGGCCTTGCCACAATCCCCACACGAGTAAGGCTTTTCCCTGGTGTGTGTCCTTCGATGTACATTGAGGATTGATTTATGGCTGAAGGATTCGCTGCAGTCCCCGCACACGTACGGCTTCTCTAAGGAATGGTTTTGTTGGTGCTTCCACAGGGATGACTTTGAACTGAAAGTATTGCTACAGTGTCTACACTTGTATGTCTTCTTCTCTGCACAAAGTTGGGAGGGAGGACTAGGGCTTGAAGTACCTGAGTTCTTCCCACACATGCTAAAACAGTGCATCCCTGGCCCTCTCGGTCCTTCCAATCTTGGTGGGGCTGGCATATGGCTCTGGTGGATGTATGTCTTAAATTCACAACACTTAGGAGCTAACACTTGGGACATGTCCAAAGGCCCTACACAGGCCCCTGTGTTTCTGTGTTGCTGCCCCACCCTGTCACCCTGTATTCCCACTTTTTCACAGGAGTAACCCTGGGCACCATTCTTCATGAGTCCTTCTACCACCATTGCAATGGATGGTCTGTTTTCCCAAGACTCCTCCTCTGGGTCTACTTCATTCATGTTCCGTTCAGTCTCCAAGTCTGAAAGGAAGGGGAAAGAGATGAGGACACACATGTAGTTAACCACACTGGGAGGGAGGATCTTCCCAAGACATGACAAGGCACATCCTGACAGCAGAGGACAGCCTGTAGTGGGTACACAGGAAGTAGGGAAGCCGTGATATGAGATAGTCAGTTGTAAGGATGTGAAAACAGAGCAAGAAAGGCCTGATGGAGAGTGGGTACAAAGGCAGCCACCACAGCTCAGAGCTGCAAATAAAGATCCAGGAGAGAAAGAGGAAGAAAAGGGCAAGGAAGAGCACATCAAAGGATCTCACACACCCAGAGAGGCATTCACTGAACCTGGCTCCTTGCTTCCAAGCCTCCTTGTGCACATCCCCAGACAGCTGTGCTTCTCAAACCATTGCCTGCTATTACTAATGATAAAATAAGAGCTCATTCTCATGTAGTTGTGCTGGATGTCCTCTGCCTTCCCACTTGCCAGTGGAGCTCCCACAAGTCCACACTGCCCATGAGTGGCCCGGCCCTTGGGCTGGTTCCTCACCCCTCCACTTAGTACACTAATCCTTCCCTGCGGGCCACACCGACTCCAAGTCTGTTATACCTTGTCCCATTTATTCTTCAGTCTCCGTTTCCAGACAAGGTGGCTGTCCTGAGGTACAGACTCTGCATATGCACTTAGAGGTTCATTCAAACATTTAAAAACTGAGATCTTACACGTAAATCTCAGTCAAAAAGGGAAGATCCTGCCACATGTAGCCCTCCTTCCTAAGAGGTAAAAAAGCAGGAATGGTAAGCAGCTGTCTCCCTACCCACATTAAAGCCCTCACTGGCCACACAAAACCTGAGATTCAGGCCCTTCCCTCAAGTCTACAACTGGAAACAATCCTATTGTTTATCATCAAGTGAAAGGATAAACACAGGGTGAGCTATCCCAGAAGTAGAATATGACTCTGCAATAAAAAGAAGTCAGCTATTGCCCTGAATGCCTAGCTCAGCTGGTTAGAGTCGTCAAGACCAGCAAAAACTGTGAGTTGGATCCAAGTACACGGCTTGTACAGGAGGGAATGGATTGATTTTTCTCACACACAATCCTTCTTCTTTCAAATCAGTAACAAAGGAAAAAAATGAAGGGAATGACTCATACATACAGTTGACGATGAGTAAACCTCAACAAAATGATGTGAAGTGTGACAAATCAGATGAAAAATTGAAATATGTGCCATATAATTCCATATATATAAAATTCTAGAATAGGGAAACTAAACCTCTGTGATTGCATGAAGAATGAGATGTGCACAGAAAGGAAGAAACACTTGGGGGCTAATAGATGTATCTGTATTACAATGATGATTCCTGGGTGGTTAAAAATGTCAAAATGTGTCCAATCATTTGCTTTCACTACGAGCAGTTAATAGTAGGTCAGTTAAACAACCAGAAAAGCTGTTAAAGAAATGGGACTGTACACTAAGTTAGCTGTACACTAAGTCAGAGAGTTAGTGTTTTTCCTTAACAATATTATCCAAGAAAGAATATTATCCTCTTTTGTCAGTGAGGGCAAAAAGTGCTCATCTTTGAAGAGCTTTCTGAGTTCCATCATATTTCTACATGACGTTTTATTCTTTTAGTCACTTGGTGAATATCTAGGTCATTTGTTGTTCATTTTTCTTCCTATGAAAAATCAGGGAAATTTCTATTAAGATGGAGCCGGATGTAAACACACTTCGCCTCTTGCAACAACTACAGAAAAAGTTACAACTAGACCATAAAATATGTCACACAGAGTTGTCAGAGAATGGAGTGGTGTGGACATCTGACAACCATTTCCGTACAGAACCCATATTGTTCCAGAAGCTGAGGAGAGGCAGAGTGACAGACATGAACGCAGAAGAGGAGAGATGTGGCATGGCAAGGACAGGTGGCAAAAAGAGTGGTCGCACATACCTGTGTGGAGGATAAAAATTGGGAGGGATACCTCAGGAATGAAGAATCCCACCCCCAGACCTGACCATATAGCCTACTGTTCCAGGCCAGGAAGGTACACCCCCATAACTTCTGGCTGTTAATATCAGCAGGGGTTGGGGTGGAAGAAGATACTGCCAGATTTTCAGGAGACTCCTCTAAAAGGCTCCCCACAGACTTAGGACTTCTCAGCCCCACCCACTCTGGGATCATCACCAGGGCAACAGCTGGAAGGGCACCAGTGGTATAAGTGTCTGGAAACAGGGCGAGTACCTGGAGACAGCTTCTTCCCCAACAAACCTCCAGAAGCCAAGTAGGAGCATAATCCCCTCTCTGAGCCCTTCCCTGACACACAGCTAAAAAGTGGTGACCCTAACCCTGACAACTACCTAAGGCTCTGCCCCACACAATTTACATGTGCCTCTTCTACAACAGGCCACACAACTCACACAGGGAGTCAAAGGAGCTCTACCTAGTACACAGAAACAGACACAGGGAGGCTGCCAAATTCAGGACACAAAGAAACATGCCCCAAACCAAAGAACAGAACAAAACCACAGGAAAAGAACTAAACGAAATGGAGACAGTCAACCTGTCAGATGCAGAGTTCAAAAACTGGGTATCAGGATGCTCAAAACTCATCAGTTACAGAAACAGAATAAAAAACACCCAGGAAGAAATGAAGGATACAACAAGTGAAATAAATAGAAATCAACAGGGAAAAAACACTGCAGGGGATGAAGCTGAGATTCAATTCAAGGATTTGGAACATAAGGAAGGATATAAAAAAATAAGCATTTAACCAAAGCAGTGTGAAGAAAAAAGATTTTGAAAATATCAGGATAGAATAAATAGCCCTGGCACATATCCAAATGTACCAATATCTGAATCATAGTGCTGCCAAAAGGGCAACAGGAAGACCAAGAAATTGAACACTTATCTGAAAAAACAATCAAAGGAAACTTCTATAATATGGTGAAAGAAATAGACACAGAAGTCCAGGAAGCACAGAGGCACTCCAAAAACGTGGACCCAAACAGGACCACACCAACACACATCACAATTATAACACTAAAGTTTACAGACACAGAGAATCTTAAAGCAGCAAGAAAAAAGCAGAGGGTTAACTTACAAAGGAGTTCTCATAGGACTGTCAGATGACTTTTCAGAAGAAACATTACAGGCAAGAAGGGACTGAGAAGTATTCAAAATGATGAAAAGTAAGGTCCTACAACCTACTACACTCTAGCCATCAAAGCTATTATTTAAAATGAAAGTGCAGAGAAACTGCTTCCAGACAAGGTAAAGCTAAAGGAGTTCATCACCACCAAGCCATTATTAAATGAAACGTGAAAAGGATTTATTTAAGAAGTAGATTAAGCCCTGGCTGGTGTAGCTCAGTGGATTGAGCGCAGGCTGCAAACCAGGCATCGCAGGTTCGATTCACAGTCAGGGCACATGCCTAGGTTGCAGGCCATGGCCCCCAGCAACCACACATTGATGTTTCTCTCTCTCTCTCTCTCTCTCTCTCTCTCCCCCCCCATTCCCTCTCTAAAAATAAATAAATAAAATCTTAAAAAAAAAAGAAGTAGATTAAACCTATGAATATTAATATGAAACAAATTCACAGCTATTGACAACTGAATGTAAAACCAAACTAAGCAAACAACCAGAACAGAAACAGAATCACAGATAATGAGATCATTCCGAGGGTTATCAGCTGGAGGGATAGGAGGGGAAGGAGGGAGTTATGCCAGAAAAGGTATAGGGCTTAACCAGCATAAATTTGTAGGTAAAAAACAGACAGCACGATGTCAACAACAGTATAGGAAATTGAGAAGCTAAGAAACTTACATGCATGACCCATACACATAAACTAAGGCAGGCAGGAGACTGCTAGAGGTAAGGGGGCTAATGAATACAGTAAGACAAAGGGAAAAACATTGGAACAAGAATAATATCATAGTCAATAAAATATACTTAAAAAAGACATGTAAAATTAAACTTATATGATCCTATTAGCCAATGTTACCAGAATAAATTTAACCTAAAAAAAAAAGGTGATGTTAGTCACTTTTTACAGTATTCAAAACAATTAACTCAAACTGGGAAAAAGACGTAAAGAAAGACAAAATTCTGGAAGTTGTAGATAATATTGGGCAATAGTCCTTCAGATGTGATACCAAAAACGCAAGGAACAACAAGGTAAGTAAATTGGACCCCATCTACATTAAAAACATGTGTGTTCCAAATGATGCCATTGAGAAAGAGAAAAGAGTACCCAGAGAATAAGAGAAGTAGTTGCAAAGCACATGCCTCAAAAAGGTCTTAGAGCAAAATTAACAACAAAAGACTACGTAAGGAAATTTCAAAGTTGAATGATAAGGAACCAAACAACCCAACTACAAAAAAAAGTCAAAAACTTGAACCAGACACTTCACCAAAGAGAATATACCAACGAGAAATAAGCACCTGCAAAGCTGGGTTTTGGTAAGACTGCACACTCATTAGAAAGGCTAAAATGAGAAAGTCTGAGGATGTTTACTTCTGACAAGCACAGGGAGCAATGCAAGACCCAGCACTTGCTGGTTGGAATGAAAAATGAAGCAACTGCTTTGGAAAAACTTCGACAGATTCTGCAAGATAAATATACACCTATGTATAAGTCAACCTTTCCAAACAGAAAGGACATCATATCTCTACAGAAGGACATCCATCCAGCCCTGGCTGGTGTAGCTCATTGGATAGAGCACGGGCCTGTGAACCCAAGGGTCACTGTATCAATTCCCAGTCAGAGCACATGCCAGGGTTACAGGGCAGGTCCCCAGCTGGGGACCATGTGAGAGGCAACCACACATTGATGTTTCTCTCCCTCTCTTTCTCCCTCCCTTCCCCTCTTCTCTAAAAATAAATAAGTACAATTAAAACAAACAAAAAAAGACAGGCACCCAGATGTGGAAACAATCCAAATGTTTGTCATCAAGTCAGTGGATGTTTCAAGTCACAAGGTGTTTCATCCATGAAGCAGAGTATTGCTCAGCAATACAAAGAGTGTGCTATGCCCTGGTTATGTGACTCAGGTGGTGGGAGTGTCATCACAGGCACCAAAAGGCTGCTGTTTTGATCCCCAATATAAGCCTGTATAGGAGGCAACAGACTGAAATTTCTGTCTCTCAAGTCAGTGAAGATATCATCGGGTGATGACTTTAAAAAATGTATAGAAAATAAAGGGAACTATTCATACATATGGATAATGTGGGTAAACTGCAAGAATTGATGCCAAGGGTAAGAACTCAGATAATTAAAAAAAAAAAAAAAAAAAAAAAGAGGCCCCAGCTGCTGTGGCTCAGGGGCTTGAGAGCTGGCCTGTGAATCAAAGGTTTTCAAGTTTGATTCCCACTCAGGGCACATGCCTAGGTTGCAGGGCAGGTTCCCTGTAGGGGGCAGGTGGGAAACAACCACACATTGATGTTTCTCTCCCTCTCTCTCCCCCTTCCCCTCTCATTACAAATAAATAAATAAAATCTTAAAAAAAAAGACTTCCTACAATATGATTACATAGATACAAAATTCTAGAACTGGTGTGCTACACCACAATGGTTGTGTGGGATGGAGGGGGGGACAAAAGAAAACTATGTGGGCTAACGGACATGTCTGCATCTGTCCACCTTTTTTCTTTGTGTCATCATGAGGTGACAGGCACATGGTGAGTAACACAGGGAAGCTGTCCCCTTACCCAGTGAGATCAAGTTCCAGTAGATCTCCATCATCACATCCCTGTACAGGTCCTTCTGCTCAGGCTTCAACTGCTGCCACTCCTCCTGGGTGAAGTCCACAATCACATCCCTGAATGCCACCGACCCCTATGAAAGGAAGCACACACAATTCATGGCAGGGCCTTCCTCACAGCATTCAAGATACATGGCCAGAAGGGCTGAGAGATTAAGGAAGACACACAGGATGCATCTGATTGATGTCAACAATGTGCAGAGCTCTGAAGGGCCTGACTACTCACAGTCCTTGGTGCCTAAGTACACTGGAAGGGCAAATATTTATGCCCAGCCCTCATCAGATGGTGCAGTTGGTTGGAATAATGTCCTAGACACCAAATAATTGCAGGTTCTGTACCAGGTTGTGGCGCACGTGGGAGACACTAGTTCAAATTTCTCTCTCACATCGGTGTCTCTTTCCCTCCCTTTCTCTGCATATAACTCAAAGAACATATCCTCTAGAGATGACAAAAAAAAAATACACTTGCCTCTAGACATGTATGTATACAAATTACTGATTTCAGAGAAAGAGATGTTGTTCGAATTCTTGATGATTTCAGTGGTTGCTTCTTGAAAGTGCCCTGACCGGGGATCAAACCCAACCTTGGCATATCAAAACAATTCTCTAACCAACTGAGCCACATCTGTACATTTTTTATTGTCAAGTTTCTTTCCATAGAAGGAAATTTAGGCAAAAATACAACACATTTCCATCCACTAAAACATCATGACAACAGCCAGGGGCATTCACTGGTCCCACCCATCAGGCGTCCTCCTCCCATCCCCCACTCCATTCTCCTGGGCATGTAGTGACCCCCTGCAGACTTGTGAAGGTCCCGCATCCAGCACTTCCCACCCCATCCCCCTGTGAGGACTCTATGACACTTCACTGAATATGTTTAAGTGGCCATATCCCAGGTCCCTAAAGGTGTCTCCTGAGATCCCTCAGGGTAGGACAGCTCACTCCTGAGCCATCCTGTCCCCTGCAGTTCAAAAACACCAGGGTTAGCCCTGACTGGTGTAGTTCAGGGGATTCAGCATGCAGATCAAAGGGTTGAGGTTCGATGCCCAGTCAGGGCACATGCCTCAGTTGCAGACCAGGTCCCCATCAGGGGGAGGGAAAGAGGCAACCACACACTGATGTTTCTCTCCCTCTCTTTCTCCTTCCCTTCCCCTCTCTCTAAAAATAAATAAAAGTCTAAAGAAAAAAAAGGGAAGGAAGGAAAGAAGGAATGGAGGGAGAGAGGGAGGGAGGGAGGGAGGGAGGGAGAGAGAGAAGAAGGGAGGGAACCACCAGGGTCAGGATAGTACTCTCTCAACTAAGGGTGGACAAAACCCCACGAGACAAGGAGGCCTGTGGCCTGATGAGGTTTGGGGGGGAGGGTGGGTAAAGGGTCATCCCTGCTCAGAAGCATGACCCTAAGGACCAAGGAGACAGAGGGTGACATGACTTACCAGGGACCCCTTGGTTGGAAGCTGGGTGGACATCCTTCCAGCACCTATGGTGACCTGGGAACAGGCAGACTGTGCACAGAGAGAGAAAAAAGGCACAGAAAGAGATCAGGTGGATGTGTGATTCACAATGCAGACATGACAAACAGACATGCTAGGAGACAGGCAGACAAGGACAGGCATACACGGTAACAGTGAATGCATGCAGGGGGCCTATGGCATCCAAGGTCCTTGACTCATATCCCTGATAGATCCACCTGATATCCTGCATTGTTGGGGCTATTTTCACTCACCGCATTTCACACATCAGAAAACTAAGGCACAAAAAGATAAGTCAGGAACTCAAGATAAGGGTGGGATTTGGGTCGAGCTGAGCACGTAAGGGTCCATGTGCCTGATACACATGTCATACCCACACACATATATTCCCCCAACACACAGGCATGCCCACACAGCCAGTCCCAAGCCTAGAGGGAAGAACAGGACTTTCTGGCCCCTACCCGCTGGGTCTGCCTTACCAAGCAGGTACAGCGGGCCCAGGGCAGCTGACAGCAGTAGGAGCCCTTAAAAATGGCATTATTTCAGCACTGGCTGGTGTGGCTCATTAGATTGAGTGCCACCCTACCAACCAAAGGGTCCCCAGTTTGATTTCCAGACTAGGGGACGTGCCAGGATTGCAGGCCAGGTGCCAAGTAGGGAGAGCCTGAGAGGCAACCACACACTGGTGTTTCTCTCCCTTTCTTTTTACTTCCCTTATCCTCCCTCTAAAAATAAACATATAACATTTTTAAATAAAAAAAGAATATATCATCATTTCTTAAATGGAAATCTAATGCAGCTTGGACTGTTTTTGTCCTTACAGCAATACAGTCACTACTCCAAGTTTACTTTATTTAAAAGGAGGCCATGAAGGCACAGTGGTCCTGGAAATACCATGTACACGGGGCTGGTGATCCCTGAACCCAGACTGGCCCTAGATATGGGGCTGCAGAGCCAGGGGTGGCCGCTGCTCCTGTTCCTCCCCCTCCTCCTAGGTCCAAGCGCTCTGCCATTTCCTGCCATCCATTGTTCTAAGGAGAAACAAAGATTTCCCACTGTGGGGTGTTTAGTATGGGTGTTTTGTTACCTGGATGCCTGGGTGGGGAGTTGGGTGATTCACTTAACAGTCTCTGAGCCTGTTTCCCATTTTGCAGATGGTGAGGGTCGCTACCTCAGAGTAACTGTGAGGCCTGTAAAATGCTCAGAAAGGTACCCTGAGCACGCAACACACCCTCCCTGAACAAAGTCCACCCTGGTCAGCATTAGGTAGGTTCTCTGACCCTGTTCACCCCAAACCTGGCTACCACACAGGCCCTGCGCTGGGAGCTCTGAGGGCGGGAAGGAGATGGGATCGGTCGAGAACAGGCAGGCAGCTCCGCCAGGTCCGCTTGTCCAGGAGGGTCGTGGTCTCCACGCTCTCGGGAAGGCACCCCCGACGCACTCACTCACAAATGTCCGCAACGCCCAGAAACACAGACGCAGATGCACACAGACAGGGGAAGACTCGGGCAGGACAGACGCACCCCCACACGCACACAGACACACTCACACCCAGACACACAGGCGCACGGGAAGACAGATCGGGATGGTGCCTTCACACGGAGACACCGCTGACTGAAATTAAGGCAGACACGCACACACAGGAACAAAGAAGGACCCCGGAGAGACAAAGACCTGCAGCCGACACACACACACAAGAGCAAAGGCAAAACACAGGTGACCTCGCGCACACACCTGGTGACACACACCCGGTGACAAACGCGGACACACAGACCACCCGGAGATCTCAGCCCCACACATACACACACTCACAGCCACAGGCATTACCTTCACCCGTGCCACCACACCCAGAGCCGCGCTGAGTCTTCTAAAACCCCTGTCCAGTCCGAACTCAAACTCTCCACGCGGTTACCTCCCGAAAGAGAACGGCCGCCGCTGGGCACCCCGACCGCACTGCGCCTGCGCTGGCTTGCCTACTACATTTCCCAAACCACCGTGCGCCACCAGCCCGTCCTCTCTTTCCGGCTCCCCTCAGAGCGAGCTGTGTGAAGGGCCGCTAGTTCCAGTGGCGGACGCGAGGCTCCTTATCCCAGCAGACCCCGCGGCCCGACTTCAGGGAGACAGAATTAGTAGGGGACCTGGGGTGCAGGGCGAAGTAAGCGCAGTGTATCAGGGACCCGGAGGGAACTACAGAGAAGGACCGGACCCCTGGAGGAGTGGAGGAACAGTGACTGTGGGAGGAGAGCCAGAGAGGGGTTCAGAGAGGTATGCGGTGCGGGGGGTCGGGGGTACTGAGAGCGCAGCAACCTGGAGTAGAAATACACACAGGGAAATTGCGGAAAAGGCGGGGCGTGGGTGGAGGCGGGTAAGACGCTCTAGCCTGCCCTCCCCTGCACCCAGAAGTTCTCTCTGGCCTTGGGCCAGCTTGGGCGTGCTGACTTGCAGAAAATGTGTAAGGGTGCAGGGACGCCAGGTTCAAATGATCTTTTTTTTTTTTTTAAGATTTTATTTATTTATTTTCAGCGTGGGAAGGGAGGGAGATAGAGAGAAACATCACTGTGCGGTTGCTGGGGGTCATGGTCTGCAACCCAGGAATGTACCCTGGCTGGGAATCGAACCTGCGACATTTTGGTTCGCAGTCCGCGCCCTATCCACTGAGCTACGCCAGCCAGGGCGGTTCAAATTATCTTAAACATAAAGTATGTATCGGCTATTTGCCTTAGATGCCAGCTCCCTTTCAGCGCGTTACTTTTACGGAAGCAATGTAGGGGTTCTGCTGCCCATCGCCCTCCGATCGGAAAGCCCTACAGACAAAGGCTGATGAGAAAAAGGTTTTTCACTCAAATGCACTGTCGAGGAGAATGGCAGATATTTGTCTCAAAGCCCATCCCGTACAAAAAAGCTAGAAAACCCCACCGTCTTCAACCCAACCAGAACAGAAGGCAGAGTCTAGAGCTCCTGCTTCAAAGTACCATCTTGTGGGAACCGCAGCTGCCGCTGAGCAGTCACTCACTCGGACAGCTCAGCTTGTCCGTGGATGTGTCTGCTTTCATGCCTCGTCCCAGAACCTGCAGCCTCTGACGTTAGCCAGGTCTCTTCCAGGGCCACAAAGTCCCTCCAACTGGTAGGGTAGAACCATAGCCAGGTGGGCAAGAGACCAAACCCAGCCTGCGAACCAAAGGGTCAGTGGTATGATTCACAGTCTAGGGCACATGCCTGGGTTGCAGGCCAGCTCCACAGTAGGGGGCATGTGAAAGGCAAACACACGTGATGTTTCTCTCCCTCTATTCCTCCCTACCTTCTGTAAATAGAAATAAAATTTAGAAAAAAAAAGAAACAAAGAAACTTAGGGCAAAGGAATACCCACATAAAAATTCACCGCATGGGGAATGTTTACTGGGTAAATGAGCATCCATGATAAAGGAGATGAGAAATAACTCCTCCTCCTGCTATTGCTGGTTGGAATATGTGTGAGGTGGGGAGATGGACAAATGTTACTTCCTCTTAGAATTTCTCCATTATCATGTAAGACCAGCAAACCCCAGGGAACCTGTTCTGCTAGTGGATATCAGACATGGTGTGACCATTCCCCAGCCAGGAATCCAGGGGTCTGAAGAGTATGTGGCTTGCAACCTGATGGCTGGGTTCTTGTGGGGTATTTGTGCTCCCCGCCTCCAATGGTTGACACTCATAGTATGTGACAACAAGTAACTCACTCTTTTGCTCCTGACAACCGTTTTAAATGATGTTGGTGTCCCTGGATGGTGTGCTTCAGTGGACTGGAAGCCAACCTGTGAACTGAAAGGTTGCTCATTTGATTCCCAGTAAGGGCACATGCCTGAGTTTCCTGCCTTCTCACACATCAATATTTCCCTCCCTGTCCTTTTCCCTCCTGTTCCCTCTTTCTGAAAATAAAATTTTAGACAAAAATGATGCAGATTTGATTTCCTGGATTTTGTGGCGTAATAGATGAGACAAGACAAATTCAGATAGACTACCATGTCCTGTGGCAGAAAAGGAACTGCACAGCTTCTCTCTTCAGGGAGAGCACCTTGGAGCACCTCAGCCACTCTCTCAAGAGGAGAGTGCCTTCACCCTTGCCTTCACAGGCTTTTATTGGGTTCAATTTCCACAGGAATATAGGGTGTATATCTAAAGCTCATCAATCATTATCAGGCAGAAATGACTAAACAATAGATAACATTCAAAGAACTCTGAAGGCTTATTCTGAGTCAGACTCAGATAGTTAAAGGGCCATAAATCTTTGGGGAACAAACTCACTTCCTGCTTGCACCCTTATCATTAAAATTGACGGGTATTAGCAAAGTAGGTTTCATAGGATTTTATGTATTCTTTCTTAGTCCTGATTCTCTAGAAAACCCAGCCTTACCAGCACAGGGCTGCACCCACCTCCAGCAAAGTTTCAGGCTTCAGTCAGGCAGGGGAACTAAGATGCCAAGAGATTAGGAGACTTCTTGCAGACAGAATGAGGACTCAGGCTAAGTCAAAGCTGAGGGTTGAGGGTCCATCACCCCCTTTTCCTATAGCCCTCCAAGTCCTTCCCTGAGGGCCCCTTTGTGACCATGCCTGTCTTAGGTCATCCCTCCTTTGAGGAATTATACCTGTCATTGCCTAACCAGTCATCCACCCTGGGAGATGCAGGATGGATGCAATCCCCCCAGCTGGCCCCTCCTGCTCCTGCCCTTGCCTTCTCCCTGTGGTCCAGTCTGGCTAGTTGTATCATTAACATGTACAAACATATTTAGCCCGTGCAACGAAGCTACTTTCCTGATGAGGGTGTGATAGAAACAGGGGAGCACACAGGATAGGAAAATGGGGAAATTGGACTGAGAGATCCTCAGCCTGAGGCCCTTTTAACCATAAACTGCAAAGGCAAGTCCAAAAGCATTCACTGAATGTCTCAGTGACCGCAAAAATGCCAACTGCAGCTGCCTTAGGTGGTGAATAATGACTTCTTTTCCTTTCATGCTTTTTCCTTCCTCACTGGAAGACATGTACTTGATTTTAGAGAGGGAGCAACCAAGAGAGAGAAATAGATGTGAGAGAAAAATCCATTTGTTGTGATCCACAATGTTTTGGTGTAAGGGACCATGCTCCATCTAAGTGAGCCACCTGGCCAGGGCTGACCAGGCTCACAACCCAAACATGTGCCCTGACCAAGAATTGAACTGGAAATCTTTCAGTTTGCTGGCTGATGTTCCATCCACTGAACCACAGCAGCCAGAGCAATGACAGTCTATATTTCCCAAAGAGTTAAATGAATAAAGTGTGATGCTTGTAAATGTAAAATATTACAATGATTCAACAAGGACAACTTACTACAGTGTAAATAAACTGAGTGAGCTGAATCCAGTTCATCTTTTGTCTGGGTGCAGCCCATGGTGTGCCCCGTTGAGTCACCCACGATCATGGAATCCTGTTGTGTTTAAAACTCAGTCATGGGCAGGGGATCTGTTCTTCCCTCCCGTGGGACATCAGCAGTGGCCCAAATGTGGCTGTTTCACCAACACTCCTGTAAGGATCACCTCACAAGTAGAAGAATCTGCTTCACTTTTTAACATTTTATTTGAGAAAGTGACACATTGATTTTTTTGTCCCACTCATCAAAGGACTCATTGTTTTTTTCTTGTAGGCACCTGACCAGTGATAGAACCTGCAACCTTGGCATACACAAGCAATGCTTCACTAACTGAGCCACCAGCAGGGCCCCACTTTCAGGCCAGGTGGGTAACCAGTGTGCTCTGTCTGTCCCATGGAGCACTTCAGTAGATTAGCAACTGTACAGAAGTGGGAGACAGTCTAAGTATTGATCACCACCGGATCGTACCCTTTTGGTGAGCAGGGCACTAGGCTACAGCACCATCAGCAGCCATTCACAGAATCATCTCAAATACCAACCTGCACAAAATAGTTACTTGTTTCCCATTGATTAATAAAAGCTTTATGTATTGCTTTATTGTTAATAGAGCATCATTTTTATATCACTTGCTATTTATTATTGGTAATAGGTCACCATGAACATCAGTAACGAAATATTAAGTAAAACATGACCTAGACTGTGGGTGAGGCATAGATTAGGTAATGCCTCTGCCTGACTGAAGGTACTTTATTTTCTCAGGATGCTGTCATATGAGAGGATTTTTCTCCTGTAACTTAAATGGCCCTCTGGGGAGGGGGCAAAAGTTTGGGTTTCAGCAGAACAGGCACTTTCTCCATCTCTCCTACTGAAGGGCTGGGCACGGACAATGGGTCTCACCATTCCCAACACAGGAATGTCAGGCTGGGAGGGATAGGTGGACATAGACCTGGGCAGGCTTGCTAGGTTCTGTAGGGAACGACTTCACTAGATGTGGAAATGTGGCCCAGCAACCACATGGAGAACCAGTCAGGGATGAGTCAACATACAAGACCACACCCATGAAGAAGTTCTCCCATGGAAAATTAGGCCTGCATTATACCTAGGCTGTTTTGTGACTTCCTCTTGCTAAAATTCTCACCCTGATTTCAGACAGCAAGCCCTTACTGCATATCTTTAAAGTAACTTCCTGGAGTCTGTGCAAATTCTCCCAAGGATTACAGTGTAAACAGACGTGTTACTCTTTATCATTCCCTTCCATTTGCAACATTTTCCAATGACTGAATTTACAAGTTTGGGTCCTAGCAGCCCTTCGGTACCCCATTGTCTTAATCCTTATTTGTTGTTTATGACATATAAATACACACACATATATACACACATGTATATATATATATATATACACACACACGTATATATGATTTTCTTAAGATCACATTCAGAAACAGCAAATAGCAGGTTTGACAGGCTTGAGAGCTTTGATTCAATTCAAAAACAAAAAAAAAGGGAGGTGTTGGAAACTGCCCTACCTGGTTTCAGGAGCTATAACCCCCAGCACCTCCGACCCCTCCTCCATGGCTAAGGTTGAGTGACCTACCTTTGGACCATAAGCCACTAATGAGACAAAGCTTATCTCCCTGGCAGGAGCACTGCTTGTACTCCTTTTTCCATTACTGATCCCCAATGCTTGATCAGTTAACCAATGATGGTTAAGATTCCCCAAGGGGGGAATGACCTGAAAGGCATAACCACATGGAGGCCCAAGGGAAGGACTTGGGAGACTACAGCAAAGGCAGGTAATGGACCCTCGCCCCTTGGCTTTGAACAAAGCCAGAGTCCTCATTCTGTCTTCAAGTAGTCTCCTAATCTCTTGGCTGCCTTGCTTCTTCTCCCTGACTTAATCCTGAAACACAGAGGGCCACGAAGCCCTCTGCTGGAAAGGGCAGGTTTCCCCAGATGATCAGGCCTGAGAAAGAACACATAAACTCCTGTGAAACCTGCTTTGCTAAGAATGACCTTAATTAAATGATAAAGACCCAAGCAGGAAATGAATTTGTTTTCTCAAATTTTGTAGCCCTTGAGCTAACAGATCCTGACTCAGAATAAGGCCTCAAAATTCTTTATATGCAATCTACTGTTTGCTCCTTACTGCATGACAATGATTAATGAACCTTACCTGTATTCCTGTGCAAATTGAAACCCAATAAAAACCCGTGAAGGAATGGATCTGTGCACTCTCCTCTTGAGAGTTGCCAGGCCCTTCCGAGGCACCCTCCCCTTGAGAGGTAGCCCTGCTGTCCCTTTTCCTCCACAGGACACAGTAGTTCATGTGAATGTCTCATTTCATCCATGATGCGTACACTGTGCACCAGTGTGTGCATCAGGGTTCCTGGGGTTTCGGTGGGGTATTTGGATCCCCTCCCTTAAAGTGTTCACACTCAATTTGACAGGACAACCTGTACGTGTACCTTTTGCATATGATTGTTTAAAATGACATTGGTCTCCCTTAACGTAAAGTTCTATTTTTAAAAAACTTACACAGCCCTGTGAGATACTATGGCATCTCTTACAATTATTGTTAGTTCCCATGCTGAAAAAAAAATTTCCTTGCCCTCATAAAATACCTGGCACCTTCTACTGTTGGAAGGATACTGGGGGATGGGTATGGGGTTAATGAGGACAGCCACACATGTGATCACCTGACCCTTAGACAAGATCCAGGCACGTGTCACAAAGTGACAATGACCCCATGGAGCCTACCTCCACATCTTCCTTTCTTCCCTCCACTCTGCTATACAGGAGACAGAGACCAGACACGGAATGTGTTATCCAGGCTCCTACAAATTTACTTGATCTGGGTCTGGAGCCACAGGACCCCTGGCCACATTCCAGATACGAGACCTCTAAGGGGGCTAGCTTTGCACCTGGCCCTGTGGATGCTGGGGAATCAAGGGTGAGAATGTCTTGGTGTGTCCTCAACACCCATATTTCTAAGACAGGTCTGATCAGGACTTCTCTTGCTTCCTACCTGTGGGCTCCAATATCAAGTCTGGCACTGGCCCATGAGCTCAGGACCTAGCTAGTCGGGGTGGATTCGAAAACCCCCCAATCCCTTGCTTTGTGCCACATGAGGTAGAAATTCCTGCTGAAGGTTTTCCTGCACTTGCCACTCTGGTAGTAGGGCTTGTCTGCCACAGAAACCACTTGGTGGGTGGGGAGCAAAATGTTCCAGATGAAGGTTTTGCCGCAATTCTCCAAGGTGGGGCTAGTCAGATGATTTTGTAGAGATAAGCATGTCATGAAGTCCTTCTGGCAGATGGAGCCCTGGCAGGGGACTCCCCTGTATGCACTGGTCTGTGCTTCCTGAACGTGGAGTTCTTGCTCAAGTCTGTACTAGCCTAACATGTATGCCTTCTCCTGAGGGTACATTGTTTTTTCCCTAGGTTTTTAAGAAAAATTACTTACTTTTAGAAAGAGGAAGGAAGAAAGAGAGGGAAGGAAATGGCAATGTGTGGTTGCTTCAGGAGCATCCCCCTACTGTGGACCTGGCCTAAACCCAGGCATGTGCCCTGACTGGGAATTGGACCAGAGACCCTTTGATTCACAGTCCAGCACTCAGTCCAAAGCCACACCAGCCAGGGATGAAATCTGCATTCTTTGATGCTCAGTGAGGTTCCTGTTCTGGCAACAAGCCTTGCCACAATCCCTGCATATGTACTGCTTCTACCTAGTGTGCATCTCATGATGCTCGATGAGGCACCTATTCTCTCTGAAGGCCTGGCTGGAATCCTTGCCCACATACGGTGTTTGCCCAATGTGTGTCCTCTGATGCTCAAGGAGGCTCTTCTTCACTCTAAATGACTTGCCGCACTCCCCACATAGGTATGGCATCTCCCCTGTGTGCGTCCTTTGATGCACAAGGACACTGGATTTCTGACTGAAGGCCTTGCCACAGTCACCACACACATATGGCTTCTCTCCAGTGTGCGTCCTCTGATGCACAATGAAGCCAGATTTCTGGCTGAAGGCCTTGCCACAGTCCCCACAGGAGTGCAGCTTCTCCCCGGTGTGCGTCCTCTGATGCCGGATGAGCTGACTTTTCGTGCTGAAGGCCTTTCCACACTCACTGCACACAAAGGGCTTCTCCCCTGTGTGCGTCCTCTGATGCACAATGAGCATCCATTTCTGGCTGAAGGCTTTGCCACAGTCTCCACATGAGTGCAGCTTCTCCCCCATGTGCATCCTCTTATGCTCCATGAGGCGCCTATTCTCTCTGAAAGCCTTGCCGCACTCCCCACACACATACGGCTTCTCCCCTGTGTGGGTCCTCTGATGCACAATGAGACTCCATTTGTGGATGAAGGCTTTGCCACATTCTCCACATGAATGCAGCTTCTCCCCAGTGTGTGTCTTCTCATGGAGGACAAGGCACCTTTTGTTGCTGAAGGCCTTCCCACATTTCCTGCAAATGTATGGCTTTTCCCCAGTGTGTGTCCTGTGATGATCGATGAGGCGCCTCTTCTCTCTGAAGGCCCTGCCACAGTCACTGCACACGTAAGGCTTCTCCCCTGTGTGCATCCTCTCATGCTCGATGCGGCGCCTATTCTCTCTAAAGGCTTTCCCACAGTCCCCACACACATAAGGCTTCTCCCCTGTATGCGTCCTTTGATGCACAATGAGACTCCTCTTGTGGATGAAGGCTTTGCCACAGTCGCTGCACAAGTGTATCTTCTCCCCGGTATGTGTTTTCTCATGAAGGACGAGATACCTTTTCTTGCTAAAGGCCTTGTCACAGTACCCACATGTGTATGGCTTTTCCCCAGTGTGCATCCTCTCATGCTGAATAAGGATCCAATTGTCTCTGAAGGTCTTGCCACAGTCCTTGCACACATGTGGCTTCTCGCCAGTGTGTGTTCTCTGGTGTAAGGTGATATAACCCTTCTTGCTGAAGGATTTGCCACAGTCCTCGCACACGTAAGGTTTCTCCCCAGTGTGCATCTTGTGATGCATGTAGAAGCTCGATTTATGGCTGAAGGCTTTGCCACAGTCCCCACACATGTACGGCTTCTCCCCAGTATGTATCTTCTGATGCTCAATGAGGCGCCTATTCTCTCTGAAGGCCTTGCCACAATCTCCACACGAGTAAGGCTTTTCCCTGATGTGCGTCCTCTGATGTACATTGAGGGCTGATTTATGGCTGAAAGCTTTTCCACAGTCTCCGCACACATATGGCTTCTCCCCAGTGTGCGTTCTCTTATGTAGGATGATGTTTCCCTTCTGGCTGAAGGACTTGCCACAGTCCACACACATGTAAGGTTTCTCCCCAGTGTGCGTCCTCTGGTGTAGAATGCTCTTATCCTTCCGGCTGAAGGCCTTACCACAGTCCCCACACACATACCGCTTCTCTAAGGAATGGTTTTGTTGGTGCTTCCACAGGGATGACTTTGAACTGAAAGTCTTGCTACAGTGTCTGCACTTATATGTCTTCTTCTCTGCACAAAGTTGGGAGGGAGGACTGGGGCTTGAAGTACCTGAGTTCTTCCCACACATGCTGAAACAGTGCATCCCTGGCCCTCTCGGTCCTTCCAATCTTGGTGGGGCTGGCATATGGCTCTGGTGGATGTATGTCTTAAATTCACAACACTCAGGAGCTAACACTTGGGACATGTCCAAAGGCCCTACACAGGCCCCTGTGTTTCTGTGTTGCTTCCCCACCCTGTCACCCTGCATCTCTGCTTTTTCACAGGAGTAACCCTGGGCACCATTCTTCATGAGTCCTTCTACCACCATTGCAATGGATGGTCTGTCTTCCCAAGACTCCTTCTCTGGGTCCACTTCATTCATGTTCTGTTCAGTCTCCAAGCCTAAGGGGAGGGGGAAAGAGATGAGGACACACATGTAGTTAACCACGCTGGGAGGGAGGATCTTCCCAAGACATGACAAGGCACATCCTGACAGCAGAGGACAGCCTGTAGTGGGTACACAGGAAGTAGGGAAGCCGTGATATGAGATAGTCAGTTGTAAGGATGTGAAAACAGAGCAAGAAAGGCCTGATGGAGAGTGGGTACAAAGGCAGCCACCACAGCTCAGAGCTGCAAATAAAGATCCAGAAAAGAAAAAGGAAGAAAAGTGCAAGGAAGAGCACATCAAAGGATCTCACACACCCAGAGAGGCATTCACTGAACCTGGCTCCGTGCTTCCAAGCCTCCTTGTGTACATCCCCAGACAGCTGTGCTTCTCAAAGCATTGCCTACTATTACTAATGATAAAATAAGAGCTCATTCTCATGTAGTTGTGCTGGATGTCCTCTGCCTTCCCACTTGCCAGTGGAGCTCCCACAAGTCCACACTGCCCATGAGTGGCCCGGCCCTTGGGCTGGTTCCTCACCCCTCCACTTAGTACACTAATCCTTCCCTGCAGACCACACCGACTCCAAGTCTGTTATACCTTGTCCCATTTATTCTTCAGTCTCCGTTTCCAGAAAAGGTGACTATCCTGAGGTACAGACTCTGCATATGCACTTAGAGGTTCATTCAAACATTTAAAAACTGTGAGATCTTACACATAAATCTCAGTGAAAAAGGGAAGATCCTGTCACATGTAGCCGTCCTTCCTAGGAGGTAACAAAGAAAGCAGGAATGGTAAGCAGCTGTCTCCCTACCCATATTAAAACCCTCACTGGCCACACAAAACATGAGATTCAGACCCTTCCCTCGAGTCTACAAGCTGAAACAATCGCAATGTTTATCATCAAGTGAAAGGATAAACACATGGTGACCCATCCCAGAAGTAAAATATTACTATACAATAAAAAGAAGTCAGCTATTGTCCTGGATGCCTAGCTCAGCTGGTTAGAGTCATCAAGTCCACCAAACACAGTGGGTTGGATCTAAGTACACGGTTTGTACAGGAGGGAGTGGATTGATTTTTCTCACACACAATCCTTCTTTGTTTCAAATCAGTAGAAAAAAGTAAGATAAAAAATGAAGGGAATGACTCATACATACAGTTGACGATGAGTGAACCTCAACCAAATGATATGAAGTGTGAGAAATAGGATTAAAAATTTAAAAGTGTGTCATATAATTCCACATATATAAAATTCTAGAATAGAGAAACTAAACCACTATGGTCACGTGAAGGATGAGGCATGGACAAAAAGAAAAAAAAACTTTGGGGGCTAATGGATGTTTCTTCATCACAATGATGATTTCTGGGTCTTTACAAATGTCAAAATGTGTCCAATCATTTGCTTTAACTATGTGCAGTTAATACTAGGTCAGTTAAACAACCAGAAAATCTGGTAAAGAAATGGCACTGTACACTAAGTCAGAAAGTTAGTGTTTTTCCTTAAGAATGTTATATAGGGCCCTGGCGGGCGTAGCTCAGTGGATTGAGCATGGGTTGCAAACCAAAGCATCACAGGTTCGATTCCCAGTTAGGGCACATGCCTGGGTGGCAGGCCATGGCCCCCAGCAACCACACATTGATGTTTCTCTCTCTGTCTCTTTCTCCCCCCCTTCCCTCTCTAAAATAAATAAATAAAATCTTAAAAAAAAAAAAACAACGACTATTATACAGGGATATCTTTCTTGTCAGTGAAGACAAAAAGTGCTCATGTTTTTGATCAGTTTTCTGATTTCCATCATATTTCTACATCATGTTTTATTCTATTAGTCTCTTGGTGAATATCTAGGTCATTTGTCTTCATTTTTCTTCCTATGAAAAATCAGGGAAATTTCTATTAAGATGGAGCCGGATGTAAACACACTTCACCTCTTGCAACAACTACAGAAAAAGTTACAACTAGACCATAAAATATGTCACACAGAATTGTTAGAGAATGGAGTGGTATTGATATCTGACAACCATTGACGTACAGAACCCATATTGTTCCAGAAGCTTAGGAGAGGCAGAGTGACAGACATGAACGCAGAAGAGCAGAGATGTGGCATGGCAAGGACAGGTGGCAAAAAGAGTGGTCGCACATACCTGTGTGGAGGATAAAAATTGGGAGAGATACCTCAGGAATGAAGAATCCCACCCCCAGACCTGACCATACAGCCTACTGTTCCAGGCCAGGAAGGTACACCCCCATAACTTCTGGCTGTTAATATCAGCAGGGGTTGGGGTGGAAGAAGATGCTGCCAGATTTTCGGGAGACTCCTCTAAAAGGCTCCCCACAGACTTAGGACTTCTCAGCCCCACCCACTGTGGGATCAGCACCAGGGCAACAGCTGGAAGGGCACCAGTGGTATAAGTGTCTGGAAACAGGGCGAGTACCTGGAGACAGCTTCTTCCCCAACAAACCTCCAGAAGCCAAGTAGGAGCATAATCCCCTCTCTGAGCCCTTCCCTGACACACAGCTAAAAAGTGGTGACCCTAACCCTGGCAACTACCTAAGGCTCTGCCCCACACAATTTACATGTGCCTCTTCTACAACAGGCCAACAACTCACACAGGGAGTCAAAGGAGCTCTACCTAATACACAGAAACAGACACAGGGAGGCTGCCAAATTCAGGACACAAAGAAACATGCCCCAAACCAAAGAACAGAACAAAACCACAGGAAAAGAACTAAACGAAATGGAGACAGTCAACCTGTCAGATGCAGAGTTCAAAAACTGGGTATCAGGATGCTCAAAACTCATCAGTTACAGAAACAGAATAAAAAAACACCCAGGAAGAAATGAAGGATACAACAAGTGAAATAAATAGAAATCAACAGGGAAAAAACACTGCAGGGGATGAAGCTGAGATTCAATTCAAGGATTTGGAACATAAGGAAGGATATAAAAAAATAAGCATTTAACCAAAGCAGTGTGAAGAAAAAAGATTTTGAAAATATCAGGATAGAATAAATAGCCCCGGCACATATCCAAATGTACCAATATCCGAACTGCTGCCAAAAGGACAACAGGAAGACCAAGAAATTGAACACTTATCTGAAAAAACAATCAAAGGAAACTTCTATAATATGGTGAAAGAAATAGACACAGAAGTCCAGGAAGCACAGAGGCACCCAAAAACGTGGACCCAAACAGGACCACACCAACACACATCACAATTATAACACTAAAGTTTACAGACACAGAGAATCTTAAAGCAGCAAGAAAAAAGCAGAGGGTTAACTTACAAAGGAGTTCTCATAGGACTGTCAGATGACTTTTCAGAAGAAACATTACAGGCAAGAAGGGACTGAGAAGTATTCAAAATGATGAAAAGTAAGGTCCTACAACCTACTACACTCTAGCCATCAAAGCTATTATTTAAAATGAAAGTGCAGAGAAACTGCTTCCAGACAAGATAAAGCTAAAGGAGTTCATCACCACCAAGCCATTATTAAGTGAAACGTGAAAACGACTTAAGAAGTAGATCAAACCTATGAATATTAATATGCAACAAATTCACAGCTATCAACTGAATGTAAAGCCAAACTAAGCAAACAACCAGGAGAGAAACAGAATCACAGATAATGAGATCATTCCGAGGGTTATCAGCTGGAGGGATAGGAGGGGAAGGAGGGAGTTATGCCAGAAAAGGTGTAGGGCTTAAGCAGCATAAATTTGTAGGTAAAAAACAGACAGCACAATGTCAACAACAGTATAGGATATTGAGAAGCTAAGAAACTTACATGCATGACCCATGCACATAAACTAAGGCAGGCAGGAGACTGCTAGAGGTAAGGGGGCTGACGGGGACAAGAAGACAAAGGAGAAAACATTGGGACAAACATAATATCATAGTCAATAAAATATACTTAAAAAAGACACGTAAAATTAAACTGATATGATCCTATTAGCCAATGTTACCAGAATAAATTTAACTTAAAAAAAAAAAGGTGATGTCAGCCCCTTTTTACAGCATTCAAAACAATAACTCAAACTGGGAAAAAGACGTAAAGAAAGACAAAATTCTGAAAGTTGTAGATAAAATTGGGCAATAGTCCTTCAGATGTGATACCAAAAACGCAAGGAACAACAAAATAAGTAAATCGGACCCATCTACATTAAAAACATGTGTGTTCCAAATGATGCCATTGAGAAAGAGAAAAGAGTACCCAGAGGATAAGAGAAATAGTTGTAAAGCACATACCTCAAAAAGGTCTTAGAGCAAAAATTAACAACAAAAGACTATGTAAGGAAATTTCAAAGTTGAATGATAAGGAACCAAACATCCCAACTACAAAAAAAAAAGTCAAAAGACTTGAACTAGACACTTCACCAAAGAGAATATACCAACGAGAAATAAGCAGCTGCAAAGCTGGGTTTTGGTAAGACTGCACACTCATTAGAAAGGCTAAAATGAGAAAGTCTGAGGATGTTCACTTCTGACAAACACAGGGAGCAATGCAACACCCAGCACTTGCTGGTTGGAATGAAAAATGAAGCAACTGCTTTGGAAAAACTTCGACAGATTCTGCAAGATAAATATACACCTATGTATAAGTCAACCTTTCCAAACAGAAAGGACATCATGTCTCTACAGAAGGACATCCATCCAGCCCTGGCTGGTGTAGCTCTTTGGATAGAGCACGGGCCGGTGAACCCAAGGGTCACTGTATCAATTCCCCAGTCAGAGCACATGCCAGGGTTGCAGGGCAGGTCCCCAGCTGGGGACCATGTGAGAGGCAACCACACATTGATGTTTCTCTCCCTCTCTTTCTCCCTCCCTTCCCCTCTTCTCTAAATATAAATAAGTACAATTAAAACAAACAAAAAAAGACAGGCACCCAGATGTGGAAACAATCCAAATGTTTGTCATCAAGTCAGTGGATGTTTCAAGTCACAAGGTGTTTCATCCATGAAGCAGAGTATTGCTCAGCAATACAAAGAGTGTGCTTTGCCCTGGTTATGTGACTCAGGTGGTGGGAGTGTCATCACAGGCACCAAAAGGCTGCTGTTTTGATCCCCAATATAAGCCTGTATAGGAGGCAACAGATTGAAATTTCTGTCTCTCAAATCAGTGAAGATATCATCGGGTGATGACTTTAAAAAATGTATAGAAAATAAAGGGAACTATTCATACATATGGATAATGTGGGTAAACTGCAAGAAATGATGCCAAGGGTAAGAACTCAGATAATTAAAAAGAGGCCCCAGCTGCTGTGGCTCAGGGGCTTGAGAGCTGGCCTGTGAATCAAAGGTTTTCAAGTTTGATTCCCACTCAGGGCACATGCCTAAGTTGCGGGGCAGGTCCCCAGTTGGGGACCATGTGAGAGGCAATCACACATTGATGTTTCTCTCCCTCTCTCTCCCCCTTCCCCTCTCATTACAAATAAATAAATAAAATCTTAAAAAAAAAGACTTCCTACAATATGATTACATAGATACAAAATTCTAGAACTGGTGTGCTACACCACAATGGTTGTGTGGGATGGAGGGGGGACAAAAGAAAACTATGTGGGCTAACGGACATGTCTGCATCTGTCCACCTTTTTTCTTTGTGTCATCATGAGGTGACAGGCACATGGTGAGTAATACTGCAAGGCTGTCCCCTTACCCAGTGAGATCAAGTTCCAGTAGATCTCCATCATCACATCCCTGTACAGGTCCTTCTGCTCAGGCTTCAACTGCTGCCACTCCTCCTGGGTGAAGTCCACAATCACATCCCTGAATGCCACCGACCCCCTATGAAAGGAAGCACACACAATTCATGGCAGGGCCTTCCTCACAGCGTTCAAGATACATGGCCAGAAGGGCTGAGAGATTAAGGAAGACACACAGGATGCATCTGATTGATGTCAACAATGTGCAGAGCTCTGAAGGGCCTGACTACTCACAGTCCTTGGTGCCTAAGTACACTGAAAGGGCAAATATTTATGCCCAGCCCTCATCAGATGGTGCAGTTGGTTGGAATAATGTCCTAGACACCAAATAATTGCAGGTTCTGTACCAGGTTGTGGCGCACGTGGGAGACACTAGTTCAAATTTCTCTCTCACATCGGTGTCTCTTTCCCTCCCTTTCTCTGCATATAACTCAAAGAACATATCCTCTAGAGATGACAAAAAAAAATACACTTGCCTCTAGACATGTATGTATACAAATTACTGATTTCAGAGAAAGAGATGTTGTTCGAATTCTTGATGATTTCAGTGGTTGCTTCTTGAAAGTGCCCTGACCGGGGATCAAACCCAACCTTGGTATATCAAAACAATTCTCTAACCAACTGAGCCACATCTGTACATTTTTTATTGTCAAGTTTCTTTCCATAGAAGGAAATTTAGGCAAAAATACAACAAATTTCCATCCACTAAAATAGCATGACAACAGCCAGGGGCATTCACTGGTCCCACCCATCAGGCGTCCTCCTCCCATCCCCCACTCCATTCTCCTGGGCATGTAGTGACCCCCTGCAGACTTCTGAAGGTCCCGCATCCAGCACTTCCCACCCCACCCCTCTGTGAGGACTCTATGACACTTCACTGAATATGTTTAAGTGGCCATATTCCAGGTCCCTAAAGGTGTCTCCTGAGATCCCTCAGGGTAGGACAGCTCACTCCTGAGCCATCCTGTCCCCTGCAGTTCAAAAACACCAGGGTTAGCCCTGACTGGTGTAGTTCAGGGGATTCAGCATGCAGATCAAAGGGTTGAGGTTCGATGCCCAGTCAGGGCACATGCCTCAGTTGCAGACCAGGTCCCCATCAGGGGGAGAGAAAGAGGCAACCACACACTGATGTTTCTCTCCCTCTCTTTCTCCTTCCCTTCCCCTCTCTCTAAAAATAAATAAAAATCTAAAGAAAGAAAAAAAGGAAGGAAGGAAAGAAGGAATGGAGGGAGAGAGGGAGGGAGGGAGGGAGGGAGAGAGAGAGAGAGCAGAAGGGAGGGAACCACCAGGGTCAGGATAGTACTCTCTCAACTAAGGGTGGACAAAACCCCACGAGACAAGGAGGCCTGTGGCCTGATGAGGTTTGGGGGGAGGGTGGGTAAAGGGTCATCCCTGCTCAGAAGCATGACCCTAAGGACCAAGGAGCCAGAGGGTGACATGACTTACCAGGGACCCCTTGGTTGGAAGCTGGGTGGACATCCTTCCAGCACCTATGGTGACCTGGGAACAGGCAGACTGTGCACAGAGAGAGAGAAAAAGGCACAGAAAGAGATCAGGTGGATGTGTGATTCACAATGCAGACATGACAAACAGACATGCTAGGAGACAGGCAGACAAGGACAGGCATACACGGTAACAGTGAATGCATGCAGGGGGCCTATGGCATCCAAGGTCTTTGACTCACATCCCTGATTTACCTGATATCCTGCATTGTTGGGGCTATTTTCACTCACCGCATTTCACACATCAGAAAACTAAGGCACAAAAAGATAAGTCAGGAACTCAAGAAGATAAGGGTGGGATTTGGGTCGAGCTGAGCCTGTAAGGGTCCATGTGCTTGGTGCACATGTCATACCCACACACATATATTCCCCCAACACACAGGCATGCCCACACAGCCAGTCCCAAGCCTAGAGGGAAGAACAGGACTTTCTGGCCCCTACCCGCTGGGTCTGCCTTACCAAGGAGGTACAGTGGGCCCAGGGCAGCTGACAGCAGTAGGAGCCCTTAAAAATGGCATTATTTCAGCACTGGCTGGTGTGGCTCATTAGACTGAGTGCCACCCTACCAACCAAAGGGTCCCCAGTTTGATTTCCAGACTAGGGGACGTGTCAGGATTGCAGGCCAGGTGCCAAGTAGGGAGAGCCTGAGAGGCAACCACACACTGGTGTTTCTCTCCCTTTCTTTTTACTTCCCTTATCCTCCCTCTAAAAATAAACATATAACATTTTTAAATAAAAAAAGAATATATCATCATTTCTTAAATGGAAATCTAATGCAGCCTGGACTGTTTTTGTCCTTACAGCAATACAATCACTACTCCAAGTTTACTTTATTTAAAAGGAGGCCATGAAGGCACAGTGGTCCTGGAAATACCATGTACACGGGGCTGGTGATCCCTGAACCCAGACTGGCCCTAGATATGGGGCTGCAGAGCCAGGGGTGGCTGCTGCTCCAGTTCCTCCCCCTCCTCCTGGGTCCAAGCTTTCTGCCATTTCCTGCCATCCATTGTTCTAAGGAGATACAAAGATTTCCCACTGTGGGGTGTTTAGTATGGGTGTTTTGTTACCTGGATGCCTGGGTGGGGAGTTGGGTGATTTACTTAACAGTCTCTGAGCCTGTTTCCCATTTTGCAGATGGTGAGGGTCCCTACCTCAGAGTAACTGTGAGGCCTGTAAAATGCTCAGATAGGTACCCTGAGCACACAACACACCCTCCCTGAACAAAGTCCACCCTGGTCAGCATTAGGTAGGTTCTCTGACCCTGTTCACCCCAAACCTGGCTACCACACAGGCCCTGCGCTGGGAGCTCTGAGGGCGGGAAGGAGATGGGATCGGGCGACAGCAGGCAGGCAGCTCCGCCAGGTCCGCTTGTCCAGGAGGGTCGTGGTCTCCACGCTCTCGGGAAGGCACCCCCGACGCACTCACTCACAAATGTCCGCAACGCCCAGAAACACAGACGCAGATGCACACAGACAGGGGAAGACTCGGGCAGGACAGACATCACCACCCCTCCAAAAACACACACAGGCGCACAGGAAGACACATTGGGATGGTGCCTTCACACGGAGACACCGCGGACTGAATTTAAGGCAGACACGAACACTCAGGAACAAAGAAGGACCCCGGAGAGACAAAGACCTGCAGCACACACACACACACACACACACACACACACACACACACAAGAGCAAAGGCAAAACACTGGTGACCTCGCGCACACACCTGGTGGCACACACCCGGTGACAAACACGGACGCACAAACAGACCGCCCAGGGGTCTCAGCCCCACACACACTCACAGCCATAAGCATTACCTTCACCCGTGCCACCACACCCAGACCCGGGCTCAGGCTCCTAAAGCCCCTGCCCAATCCGCGTTCAAATTCACCACGAGGTTACCTCACGAAGGAGAACAACCTCCGCTTGGAACCCGGACAGCACTGCGCCTGCGCGCAGACTGGCCTACTACATTTCCCAAACCGCCCTGCGCCACCAGCTAGTCCTCTTTTTCTGGCTTCCTACAGGGAGCGCGGTGGGGAGGGGCTGCAAGTCACCGGGGTGGATGCGAGGCTCTGTATCCCAGCTGACCCCGCGGCCCGCGGTCAGTGAGACAGAATTAGTGGGGGACCTGGGGCTGCAGGGCAAAGTAAGCGCAGTGTGAGCTGGAGAGAACTACAGAGAAGGACGGGACCCCTGGAGGAGTGGGGGGACCAGTGACTGGGAGGAGAGCCAGAGAGGGGTTCATAGAGGTACGCGGGGGAAACTGAGAGCGGAGTGAGTTGGAGGGGAAATAGAGACGGGGAAATTGCACAAAAGGCAGGGTGTGGGTGGAGGCAGGAAAGACGCTGTAGCCCGCCCTCCCCCCACCCAGAAGTCCTCTTTGGCCTTGGACTAACATGGGCATGCTGAGTTGCAGAAAATATGTAAGGGTGCAGGGACGGCAGGTTCAAATGGTCTTAAACACAAAATAAGTATCGAATATTCATTTTAAGTGCCAACTCCCGTTCAGGGCGTGTTACATGAGCAATGTGGGGGTTCTGCTGCCCATCGCCCCTATAGGAAAACTCCAGAGGCAAAGGCTGGTGAGAAAGAGGTTTTTTACTCAAATGCAAGGTTGGGGAGATTGGCAGATACTTGTCTCAAACCCCATCCCCTCCGAAAAACCTAAGAAAGCCCCAGCCTTCTTCAACGGAAGCGGAACAGAAGGCCGAGTCCAGAGCTCATGCTTCAAAATACTATCTTGGAACCGCAGCTGCCGCTGAGCGGTCACCCAGGCAGCCCAGCTTGTCTGTGGCTGCTGTGTGGTTTCAGGCTCCCTCCTGGAACCTGGAGGCTCTGACGTTAGCCAGGTTTCCTCCAGGGACACAAAGTCCCGCCAACTCCCAGTATCATGGCCAGGTAGTTAAGAGACCTAGTGTGGCCTGGAAACCAAAGGTTCACTGGTTTGATTCCCAGTGACCCAGGAACATGCCTGGGTTTCAGGCCAGGTCCACGATATGGGGCTCCTGAGAGGCAACCACACATTAATGTTTCTCTCCCTCTATTCCTCCCTCCCTTCTTCACTAAAAATAAATAAAATCTTAAAAAGAAAAAAGAAAGCCCTGGATGGCGTAGCTCAGTGGATTGAGCGCGGGCTGCGAACCAAAGTGTTGCAGGTTCGATTCCCCGCCAGGGTACATGCTTGGGTTGCAGGACATAATCCCCAGCAACCGTACATTGATGTTTCTCTCTCTCTATCTCCCTCCCTTCCCTCTCTAAAAATAAATAAATAAAATAAAATTTTAAAAAAGGAAAAAGAAAACTTGGGACAAAGGAAAGTACCCCTGTAAATATACATTCATGGGGAATGTGTATTGGGTAAATGAGCATTCAGGGTGGAGATGAGAAATAACTCACCTCTGGGTATTGCTGGCCCTAATATGTCTGAAGTGGGGAGATGGACACATGTAATTTCCTCCTAATATTTCTCCATCATCATGCGAGACCAGCAAACCCAGGGAACCTGTTCTGATAATGGACATCAGACATGGTGTGACCATTCCCCAGCCATGAATCCAGGGCTATGAGGAACAAGTGGCTTGCAACCTGCTGTTGGGTTCTTGTGGGGTATTTGTGCTCCCTCCTCTCCAATTTGGATGGGACAACCAGTAACTCCCTCTTTTGCACCTGACACCTGTTTAAAATGATGTTGGTGGCCCTGGATGGTGTGGCTCAGTGGACTGGAAGCCAACCTGTGAACTGAAAAGTTGCTGATTGGATTCCCAATAAGGGCACATGCCTAGGTTTTGGGCCTTCTCACACATCGATGTTTCTTTTCCTGTCTTTCTGCTTCTTGTTCCCTCTTTCTGAAAATAAGTAAAATTTTAGAAAACAACATGTTTGTTTGATTTAATTAAAAGTTTTATTAAAAAATATTTTAGCCCTGGCTGGCGAAGCTCAGTGGATTGAGCGCAGGCTGAGAACCAGGCATCACAGGTTCGATTCCCAGTCAGGGCACATGCATAGGTTGCAGGCCATGGCCCCCAGCAACTGCACATTGATGTTTCTCTCTTTCTCCTTCCCTTCCCTCTCTAAAAATAAATAAAATGTTTTTTTAAAAGTGCTTAAAAAATAAATATTTTAAAGACCACTATGAGAGACTTTGGTATCTGAATTGACGACTGCTACTTCCTAATCATAAAAAGTATTTTTTCTCTGTGTGAACCACCTGGTAATTTACATAGCTCATGAGCTTGGGGCCTTCCAGCTGGTGTTGCTCAGAAAGAAGGGGCTGTGTTCTGGGAAAACGAGATACACACAGAGGGTGACGACCTGACCTCTGAACGAGATCCAGGCATGTATGAGAAAGTGACCATGTCCCCATGGAGCCCACCTCGTTCCCTTCCATTCTCCTTCCCCTCCTGCATTTTTCAGTTGAGGAGATGGATACCCACACACTACACATGTGGTCCAAGCTCATAGGACAATTTACCTCAGCTGGGTCTGGAGCCATGGTGCCCCTGGCTGTGCTCCCAGATGCTAGACCTGTAGGGGGGTTTGCTTTGCACCTGGTCCTGTGGATGCTGGGGAAGCAAATGCTGAGAATGCCACCGCCTGTTCTCACTGCCAGTATTCCTAAGACACATCTGATGAGGATTTCTCTTGTGTCCGACCCGTGGGCCCCAATATCAAGCCTGGTGTGGGCCCATACACTCAGGACCTACCAGTCAGGTTTGGATTTTAAGATCCCCCAATTCCCTGTTATGTGTCACGTGAGGTAGAAATTCCTGCTGAACGTTTTCCTGCACTTGCCACACTGGTATGGCTTGTCTCCCACATGATCCTCCTGCAGACAGGGAGCAAAAGTTTCCTGATGAAGGCTTTTCCACACTGCACTTATAAAGCTTCTCCACAATGGGGCTGGTCAGTATATTCTGTAGGGGTGAGGGTGTCACGCAGTCCTTCTGGCAGATGGAGCACTTGCAGGACTACTCCCTGGTGCCTGTGCTGCTTGAATGAAGAGTTCTTGCTAAATGCCTTGCCGAAGTACTCTCACGTGTATGGCTTCTCCTGGGTATGTGTACTTTGATGGGCAATGACACTCCATTTGTGGCTGAAAGCATTGCCACAGTCCCCACACAGATATGGCTTTGCCTTAGTGGGTGTCCTCTCATGTACTTTGAGGACAGATTTCAAGCTGAAGGCCTTGCTGCAGTCACCACACACATACGGCTTCTCTCCGGGGTGTGTCTTCTTATGCTCAATGAGGATACACTTATAGCTGAAGGCCCTGCCACAGTCTACGCATGTGTATGGCTTCTCCCCAGTGTGCATCCTCCGATGGCTGATGAGATACCTATTTTCTCTGAAGGCCTTGCCACAGTCCCCACACACATACGGCTTCTCCGTACTGTGTGTCCTCTGATGCTGCATGAGTTGTCTATTCTCTCTAAAGGCCTTGCCACAGTCACCGCATGTATGAGGCTTCTCCTCGGTGTCCTCTGATGCAGAGATTCCATTTCCGGCTGAAGGCTCTGCTGCAATTCCCACAGGAGTATGGCTTCTCCCTATTGTACATCCGCTGATGCAAACTGAGTCTCAATTTCTGACTGAAGGCCTTCCCGCAGTCCCCGCACACATGTGGCTTCTTCCCAGTGTGTGTCCTTTCATGCAGGGTGAGGCTCCCTTTTTTGCTGAAGGCCTTGCCACAGTCCCCACACATGTAAGGCTTCTCCCCAGTGTGTGTCCTGTGATGGGCATACTGGGTTGATTTCTGGCTAAAGGCTTTGCCACAGTCCCCACACATGTATGGCTTCTCTCCCATGTGTAACTTCTGATGCTCGATGAGGTGCCTATTCTCTCTGAAGGCCTTGTCACAGACTCTGCATGCATAACACTTCTCCCCAGTGTATGTTCTTTGATGCACACATAGGATTGATTTCTGTGTGAAGGCCTTACCACAGTCCCCCCCACACACACATGGTTTCTCCCCAGTGTGTGTCCTCTCATGCTGGACTAGGTAATTTCTCTTCCTGAAGGCCTTGCCACAATCCCCACACGTGTACTGCATCTCCCCGGAGTGCATGCTCAGATGCTTGATGAAGTGACTATTCCATCTGAATGCCTTGCCGCACTCCCTGCACACATATGGCTTCTCCCTGGTGTGCGTCCTCTGGTGTAGGATGAGGTTATCCTCCTGGCTAAAGGACTTGCTGCACACCCCACACATATATGGCCTCTCCCCAGTGTGGATTTGTTGGTGTTTCCCCAGGGATGAACTATAGCTCAAACTCTTGTCATAGTGCCCGCACTTGTATGTCTTCCTCTCTGCACAAAGTTGGGAGGGAGGACCAAAGCTGGAAGTACCAGAGTTCTTCCCACACATGGTGAATCAGTGTGTGCCCTCTCCTCTCGGTCCTTCCACTCTTGGTGGGCCTGGCATGGGGCTTTGATGGACAAATGCCTTAAATTCACAACACTCAGGAGCTAACGCTGAGGACATGTTCAAATGCCTCTGACAGGTCCCCGTGCTCCTGTGTTGTAGCCCAACCCTGTACCCCTGTATCCCTGCTTTTCCACAGGCATAACCCTGAACTCCATTCTTTATAAGTCCTTCTACCACCACCGCAATGGATGGTCTGTCTTCCCAAGAGTCTGATGGGTCTGGTTCATTCATGTCCCATTTAGTCTCCAAGTCTGAGGGGAGGGGAAAGAGATGATGACACACATGCAGTTAACAACACTGGGAGGGAGGATCATCCCAAGGTGCAACAAGGCATAGCCTGAGAGTAAGGGGCAGCTTGTTGTGGGGACAGAGGGAGAAGGGAAGCTGTGATCTGAGACAGTGAATTGCAGGGAGGTGAGCACAGAGCAAGAAAAGCCTGATTGGGAGTGGGTGCAAATGCAGCCAACAGAGCTCACTGCTAGGAGGAAACCCTGAAGAGAAAGAGGAAAAAACACACTTTGAGGAGTAGGTCAAAGGATCCCACACCCCCAGGGAGGGTTCACTGCACCTGGCTACTTTCTTCTAAGCCTGGTCCTGCACATCCCCAGACAGCTGTGCTTCTCAAAGCATTGCCTGTCATTACTAATGATACGGTTAGTAATCGGATTCTCATGTGGCTCTGCAGGTTGTCCTCTACCTCCCAGCCTGACAGCAAAGCTCCCAAATTCCTACACTGCCTAGGAGTCCCCTTACCCTTGGGCGGGTCCCTCACACCTCCACTTAGTACACTAATTCTTCCCTGGTGAGCACACTCACTCCAAGCAGGTTTTGCCTTGTGCCATGGGTTCCTCAATCTCTGTTTCCATCCTACGGGGCTACCCTGAGTCCAGAATCTACATATGCACTTTAAGGTTCAACCAAACATTTAAAAACTGTAAGAAACATCCAAACATTTAAAAATTTCTTATAGTTTAAAAACTGTAAGAAATTTCACAAAAGATCTCATTAAAAAAGGTAAGATCCTGCCACATGTAGCCCTCCTTCCTAGGAGGTAATAAAGAATGCAGCAGTGGTAAGCAGTTGTCTCCCTACTCCATTAAAACCCTCAATGGCCACAGAAACCATAGATTGAGACCCTTCCCTTGAATCTAGAACTGGCATCCTGATGTTCATCGTCAAGTGAAAGGATAAACACATGGTGATGGATCCCAGAAGTAGAATATTACTCAGCAATAAAAAGAAGTCAGCTATTGCACTGGGTGCCTAGCTCAGCTAGTTAGAGTGTTGTGGAGTACACCAAAGATTGTGGGCTAGATCCAAGTTCAGACTTGTGTGGGATGCAACTGATTGATGTTTCTAGCACACTCTCATCTCTCTCTCAAAACAATAAAATAGAAACAAGGAAAAAAATGAAAGGAATGATTCATATATATGGTAGATGTGGGTGATCCTCAAAGAAATTATGTGAAGGGTAAAAAATCAAGATAAAAAAATAAACAATATGTGCCATATGATTCTATATAGACAATTTTAAAACAGGCCTTGGCTAGTATAGCTCAGTGGATTGAGTAGGCCTTCAAAACAAAGGGTTGCCGGTTCAATTCAGAGTCAGGGCACATGCCTGGATTGTGGGCTGGGTCCCCAGTAGTAGGCGCACAAGAGGCAACCACACATGGATGTTTCTCTTCCTTTTTCTCTCTCCCTTCCCCTCTCTCTAAAAATAAATAAAATTTAGAGAAAAAAAAAATCTAGAAAAAGCAAACTAAACCACAATGGTCACTGGACCTTGGAGGGTAGGTGAAATGAAATAAAACCTTTTTTTTTTTTTCAGTTTTTTTAAAGATTTTATTTATTTATTTTTAGAGAGGGAAGGGAGGGGGACAGAGAGAGAAAGAGAGAAACATCAATGTGCGGTTGCTGGGGGTCATGGTCTGCAACCCAGGCATGTACCCTGATTGGGAATCGAACCTGCGACACTTTGGTTCTCAGCCCGCGCTCAATCCACTGAGCTATGCCAGCCAGGTGAAAGAAAAACTTTTAGGGCTAATGGATGTATCTGCATCATAGTGATGAATTCTTGGATGGATACAAATGTCAAAATGTGTCCAATTATTTGCTTTAACTATGTACAGTTAATTGTAGGTCAGTTAAACCACCAGAAAACCTGTTAAAGAAATGTGACTATATACTAATTTTGGAAGTTAGTGTTTTTACTGAACCATATTATTAGGGACATCTCTCTGGATCAGTGACTACTAACAGTACTCAACTTTGAAGACCTGTGTGATTTCCTCATTATTGTACCTTCTTTTGTTTGACAACCTTATAGGTGGGTATCTAGGACATTTCTCTGGAATTTTCTTCCTACAAAATCTCGGCACACACAGAGATTTTTTAAAGATATATTCTACAAATGGAATAATTCAAATTTGGTTCAGAACAAACTGTTTTCCCAAAGAGCTGTCCCAACATCAAGGATCTAAAATGGGGAGTCCTTTTCTCTGCACCCTCATAATACAGGAGGATTAACTTTTTTTTAATACCACAGACAAGGATATTCTTACATAGGGAGGGAGGGGTGGGGAGGGACAGGGGAAGAGAGTGAAAGAGAAAGAGAGAAACATTCATTAGGGTGAGAAATGTCGATTGGCTTTCCTTCTGGATATGTGCCATCTAGGACCAAACTCAAACCTAGAATATGTATCCTGATACAGATTCTAACCCACATCCTTCTGGGTCGGGAAATTCTACAAACAAGTGAGCCATACCTACCTGGGCAGGGTTACTATTCTTTTCATACCTGTATATATCATGGGTAAAAGTTGTATTTCTGTAACTCAACTGGTATTTCTTTGATGATACTATGGTTCAAAAATCCCATGCATTTGTATATCTGAGAACTGAATGCTCATAAGTCGGGTCCATCTCTCTATCATTCATTTGGTACTTTTCTTGTTCATGCATAGCAGTTCTTTATATACTTATAATCCTCTGGCTGTTATATATGCGCTATATACTCCTTCCCACTTCATCATCTATCAAGTTCATTTTTAGGTTCCAGTAATCTGAACATCCTATATGTCAGATCTGTCCACCTTTTCTATTTCTGTGTCATCCTGAAGTGACAGGCACATGGTGAGTAACATGGTGAAGCTGCCCCCTTACCCAGAGAAACCAGGTTCCAGTAGTTCTCCATCATCACGTCCCTGTACAGGTCCTTCTGTGCAGGCTTCAGCTGCTGCCACTCCTCCTGGGTGAAGCCCACAATCACATCCCTGAACGCCACTGACCCCTGTAAGAGGAAGCGCACACCACTTGTCACAGTCAGGAGACGTGGCCAGGAGGTCTGGGAGGATCAAGCAGGTACACAGGTTGCACCTGTTGTGAGGTTGAGAAGGTGTGGGGGTCTGAAGGGCCTGGCAACTCACTGTCTTCGGTGCCTAAGTACACTGGGTGGTCCACAGACAGACAGACAAACTATGGTGCTGTTCACAGGAAGGCAAACAACACAGTTCAAAATGGACAAAAAACCTGAATGGACACTTCACCAAATGGGACACACAGATGGCCAATGTACATATGAAAAAATGCTCAACTTCACTCATCATCAGAGAGCTGCAAACTAAAACCACAATGACATATCATCTCACACAGATTAAACGGAAATCCCAGCTATGGACCCTCAACTGGTCAATACCAAAAGTGCCAGGTGACTGAGCATTGGCAGCTCTCAGGGGTGTCTGGGAAAATGGAAGGGGTAATCTGAGGTTAGGTCCATGGAGGGAGATTCTGGGTGGATCTGGTGGGTCAAGACCTGAGGCTTAACACAATGGAGCACTGAGAAGGCTGATGCCAAAATATCCATAAAACAAAGTTACTAGTGAAAATGAAAAATGCGTCTTTTACTTTACAGAAAAAATAGAACAGACTTATTCACCAACCCAGTAACTATAATCTACTGAAATTACCATTGAGGTCACAAACTCATCCACCATGTCCGACAGTTCCTTCCTGTTCCCCTTTATTATTGCACTTATTTCATTTTAATTTTTTAAATACAACTCCTGATGAAAATCTTCCCTAAGTCTCCCTGCCTGAATGGACTCACTCAATGAATTTTTTACTGAGCAGCCTCCAGGCTCTGAGCCCAGATGGGAGAGACTGAAAGCCTGAGTCACTCCTGGGCATCAGGGTACGCATACTCTACAGCAAAAGTGTGGGAAGTGAGCCCTGGCTGGTGTGGCTCATTGGATTGAGTGCCAGACTGTGAAACAAAGAGTCACTGGTTTGATTCCCAGTTAGGGCTAATGCCTAGGTTGTGGGCCAGATCCCCAGTTGGGGGTGCATGAGAGGCAACCACAGATTGATGTTTCTCTCCCTCTCTTTCTCCCACCCTTCCCCTCTCTCTAAAACAAATAAATAAAATCTTAAAAAAAAAGTGTGGGAGGTGAGACACAGGGCCTCCCTTCAGTTGGGAGATTCCCCTGAAATGGGACTTCCCTCCAAGTGAACTAAAGTCCTCTGAGCGCTCTATTGGTACATGACTGAGGCCACTTGTTCCAGGGCTCCATCTGTTTGGAATTCTTGTCTAATGGCAGAAACCTCATTGACACAAGGAAAACCTCACGCAGTTCTAAAGAGCTGAAATCAGGCTCTACTTTTTTTAATCCTCACTCGAGGACATACAGATTGATTTTGGAGGGAGAGGAAGGCAGAATCAGAGACAGAGACATCCATCTGTTCGCATCATGCACATGCCCTGACCAGGGGTCAAAACCAGTCTTTTGGTATGGAGGATGGTGCCATAACCAACTGGGAAACCCAGCCAGCGCAGGCTCTATTTTTAGAAAAATCAGAATGTGCCCTGGCTGGCATAGCTCAGTGGATTGAGTATGGACTGCGAACCAAAGTGTCATAGGTTCGATTCCCAGTCAGGGTACATGCCTGGGTTGCAGGCCATAACCCCCAGCAACCACACATTGATGTTTCTCTCTCTCTCTATCTCCGTTCCTTCCCTCTCTAAAAATAAATAAATAAAATCTTTAAAAAAAAAAGTCTTAAAAACAAAGAAAAAGAAAAATCAGAATGTAATTACACTAAAAGATAGTAAGAAAGAGAAATTGCATCCCCAAGAGCCAACGAGAGGGAAATGACAACCATCTGCAAATCTTAAACAAAGGTGGTAAAAGGAAACCAAGGCAACGATTACAGAGAAGGTAAGAGTGAAGATATCGTGGTGCAGCCACACTGGAAAACAGAACTGTTCCATAAATGGTTAAATATGCTGATATCAAAGGACCCATTATTGCCTCTCCTACATTCAAAGGAAATGAGATCAAACAAAAACAAATGTGCATGAATGTTCACAGAAACATGAGAAATAACACCCAGTAAGGGGAAATAACCCAAATGTTACCCCTGATAAGTGCATACAACAGGGTCTACCTGCACAATAGCATAGTATACAGCTATTGAAGAGCACACCTACTACAACACAGATGTACATCAAACTCATGCTGCACAGTGAGAGCAGCAAGACACAAAAACGCACGTGTTGTGTGATTCCACTTATAGAAATGTGCAGCCCTGACTGGGCAACTCAGCTGGTTGCATGCAGCGTTGTGTGTACAACCAAAGGTTAGGGGTGTGGTCCTAGTTGGGGTGCATATGGGAAGCAACTGATCAATGATTTACTCAGATAGATGTTTCTTTCCTACTGTATCCTCCATTCCCTTCTCTCTAGAAATAAACAAAATCTCAATAAAATAAAAGCAATTTTCCCACCATAAAAACATTCCTAGAAATCAAGCCTCATAGTCCCAGCTGGTGTGGCTCAGTGGATTGAGCACCTGCTTGGAAACCAAAAGGTTGCCAGCTTATTTTCCAGTCAGGGCTCACGCCTCAGCTGTGTGCCAGATCCCCATTTGGGGATGTGCAAGAGACAAGCATACATTGACATTTCTCTACCTCCCTTTCTCTAAAAATAAGATAAATGAATGTTTAAAAAAACCCCACAAAATCATAAAAAAGCTGTGACTGTTGTCACTCAGTGGATTGAGAACCAGCCTAAAACTGAAAGGTGTCCTGTTTATTCCCACTTGGTGGGCAGCAGTCAGTGGGCAGGTACCAAACTGGGCTGTTGCTACAGGAGACCCATGAATATTTGTCTTGCACATGGATGTTCTTCTCCCTATATTTCTCCCTCCTTTTCTTATCTCTGAAAAATAATTAAAATCTTTACACCATTGATCCACTTTCATAATTTAAAAAGTGAAAAAGTGAAACATGCAAAATGCAGGGCAAGTACTAATGCCAAGCCCTGGACAAGTGGCTCAGTTGGTTGGAACTCTGTGCTAGACAGCAAATAGCTGAGGTATCTATACCAGCTTGGAGCGCATGTGCGAGGCAACAGATTGAAATTTCTCTCTCACATCTGTGTCTCTCTCCCCCGCCCCTCTCTCTTCCTGTTTTCCTAAAACTCAACAAATACACCCTCTGTTGATTAAAAAAAAGATTTATTCCCAGGCATACATATATGTGCATATATATATATACATACACACGCAAATACAAATATAAATTTACTGATTTAACAGGCAGAATGAAAGAGATGTTGTTCCACTTACTGATGAATTCATTGGTTGCTTCTAGAAAGTGTCTTGACCAGGTATCAAACCTACAACCTTGGCATATCAAGATGAACCTCTAAACAACTGAACCAAGTCTGTACATTTTTAAAAAGGATTTTATTTATTTATTTTTAGAGGTGGGGAAGGGAGGGAGAAAGACAGGCGAAGAAATATCAATGTGTTGCCTCTCACATGACCCTACTAGAGACCGAGCCAAGCACGTGCCCTGACTGGGAATTGAACTGGTGCCCCTTTGGTTCACAGTCTGTACTGAATCCACTGAGCTACATCAGCCAGGGTTATACCTATACATTTTTTATTTTCAAATTTTTCTTCCACAGAAGGAAATTTAGAGAGAAATACCAGAAATAGACACTCACTAAAACATCACAAGGACAGTCACTGGCATTCACCACATGTTGGGACCCACCCAGCCAGTTTTAGAAGCTGTGACTTCCCAGGGTAAGGCTGAGTAAGAGATCTTGAGACCATAAGCCACTAAGGAGACAAAGCTTATCTTCTTGGCCGGGGGGGCTGCCTCTGCCTCCTTTTACTTCAGCCTCCTTGGCCCTGGGCAGATGACTGGTTAGCCAATGATGGGTAAGATTCCTCAAGGGAAGGATGTCCTAAGACAGGCGTGGTCACGAAGGGGCCCTCAGGGAAGGACTTGGGAGGCTATAGAAAAAGGGGGTAATGGACCCTCACCATTTGGCTTCAACATAGCCTGAGTCCTCATTCTGTCTGCAAGAAATCTCCTAATCTCTTGGCTGCCTTACTTCCCCCACCTGATTTAAGCCTCAAACAATGCTGAGCAGGAAAAAGCTGTTCCCTGGGGGGATTAGGCTGAAGAAAGAATGCATACAATCCTGAGAATCCTGTGAAACCTGAGTTGTGAGAATGTCCTCAATTTTCTGATAAGGGTCCAAGCGTAAAATGAGTTTCTTTCCCAAAGTTTTATAGTCCTTTAGCTAACTGACCCTGACTCAGATTAAGCCCCCATACTTCTTTGAATGTTACCTATTGTTTGATCATTTTGCCTGACAATGACTGATGAGCTTTACCTATATTCCTGTGCAAAATGAACACAGTAAAGACTCGTTGAAGAACAGGCTCCTGGCCCTTCTCCTTTGAGAGATCTGCCATCTTCCATCCCCAGGCAGATCATGTCTTGGTAGACTTATTTTTATCCATGGAAGCCAGGGAGGGGGTGGAGCACCCCCACAACCACTCCAACACCACAGGGGTCCTCCTCCCCACCTTCTCCAGTCTGCCCCCTGCCTACTTCTGAAGGTCACTCATCCAGCACTTCCTGCCAGAGGCCTCTGTCACACTTCATTGAATATGCTGAAGCTGCCACATCCCAAGTGCCTACAGGTGTCTCCTGAGATCCCTCAGGGTAGGACAGCTCACTCCTGAGCCATCCTGTCCCCTATGGCTGAAAAACACCAAGGTCAGGACAGTACTCTCACAAGTCAGGGTGGACAGAACCCCAGGAGATGGGAAGAGGGGCCTGGGGCCTGATGGGCTTTGCAGGGCCCAAGCCTCAACCCTGCGCAGAAGTATAACTCTCAGGAAGGAGGGGCCAGAGGGTGACATGACTCACCAGGGACTCCTTGGTCCGCAACTGGGTGGCTATCCTTCCAGTACCCAGGGTGACCTGAGCATGGCAGGCTGTGTACAGGGAGAGAGAAAAAAAGACACAGTGAGAGATCAGGTGGAGGTGTGACCCACACCTCCCACATAGGCCCACAATGCAGACATGACAGACACACACACTGCAAGACAGTCAGACAAGAAGAGACACCTTCATTAATAGGGAATGCATGCAGGGGCCTATGGCATCCAAGGTCCTAGACCAATGTCCCTCATTTAATCCTCCTGACATCCTGCATTGTTGGGGCTATTTTCAAAAATTGCATTTCACAGAGGAGGAAACTGATACACAAAGAGATAAGCTATGTGCCAAAAAAAAAAAATAAGGGTGGGATTAGGGTTGCGCTGAGTACATCAGGGTCCATGTGCTCTGTTCATAGCTCACACCCACACAGTGAAACTCCCCCCATGCACACACTTATGCACACACCCAGTCCAAATGTCTGGAGAGAGGAAAGGGACACTCTACCTTATACCTCGTCCGCCCTGGGTCTGAGTTACCCAGAAGGCACAGTGGTCCCAGGGCAGCTTACACCACTAGGCACCCTTGAAAATATCATCATTTCTTTTGATAATTTAAGAGAAAATGTGAATCTAATCCAGCCTGGACTATTTTTGTCCCTATAGTAATACAATCACTACTCCAAGTTTACTTTATTTCAAAGGAGGCCATGAAGGCACAGTGGCCCTAAAAATAGCATGTGCATGTGGGTGGTGACCACTGAACCCAGAGTGGCCCTAGACATGTGGCTATAGAGCCAGGGGTGGCAGCTGCTCCTGTTCCTCTTCCTCTGTCCAACCTTTCTCACATTTCCTGCCCTCCATGTTTTCTAAGGGGAAACAATTTCCCAGTGTGGGGTGGTTAGTGTCAGGGCTCTGGACCTGGTTGCTTGGGTGTGGAGTCGGGTGACTTACTTAATGTCTCAACCTCAGTTTCTCCATTCGCAAAATGCGGATGGTGAGGGTCCCTACCTCTAATTCAACAGGAGGCCTGTAAAATGCCCAGGAGGATACCCTGAGCACCGACACACTCCCTGAACAAATCCACCCTGGTCAGCTTTAGGTAGGGTCTCTGACCTTCTTTCTTGATCCCACACCTGGCTACCACACACGTTCCCAGCTCCCATGGCCACAGGACACTCTGTCCTTCATGGCAGGAAGGAGGTGAGCTCTGGCTCCAGCAGTCAGCTCTCACAGGCCCACCTGTAGGAGAGGTCTGTCTTTTCCACGTTCTTGGGAGGGCACCCCAGACGCATGTCCTCACATGTCAGCCATGCCCAGACAGAGGCACAAGTCCACTCAGACAGGGGAAGGCTCAGGCTGGAGAGATGCACCCCACATGCACAGACACTCACACCAGATACTCAGACAAGCACATGGGAAGAGACCAGACACAGGTGGACACCTGGGTAGCACCCTCACACTGAGGCACAGCGGAAGGAAACAAAGGGAGACACGCACACAGATATGGACACACACAGTGACGGTGACAAACACGGGCACAGGGAGATGGCCCGGAGTCTCAGCCCAACACACACACACACACACAGCCACAGGCATAACCTTCACTGGCTCGACCACACCCAGATCCACACTGAGCCTCCTCAAGCCTCTGCCTGTTCGCCACGGACTCACCACACGGTTACCTCAGGAAAATTATGGGCCTCCGCTTGAATCCCGGGTCTCACTGCGCCTGTGCGGAGCAGCCGCCTCTTACACTACCCAGACCAGCACGCAGCAGTCACGTCCTCTGCTGGGTCTGTTCAGACGCCAGCGCTGCAGAGCAGACTGGAGTCTGAGCGGCGGTCGCCAGGACACAAGTCCCAGGAGCTGGAAATGAAGGAGACAGAGATTGCAGAAAAGGCAGTGCATGGGTGGAAGCTGAAAAAGATGCTATGTAGTCCTTCCACAGACGTGTTGCTTTCTGGCCTTCGGTACGCATAGACGTGCTGACTTGCAGAAAATCTCTAAAGCTGCTGTAAAGCCTGTGGAGACAACCAGGAAGCAAATGATTTTAAACAGAAAGGAACTATCAGCCCTTCACGTTAAGTGCCAACTCCCGCTCAGGGCCCGATATTTTTACAGAACCAAAGTGGTGTTCTGTTGCCCATCCCCCCAATAGGAAAGCTGTAGAGGCAGAGGATGGTAAGAAAGAGGTTTTTCGCTCAAATGCAGGACTGAGGAGAATGGCAGATACTTGTCTCAAAGCCCATTCCCTCCGAAAAACCGAGAAAACCCCAGTGGCCCTAAGGTCTCTTCCAGGGCCACAAAGTCTCGCCAATGTAGCATCCAGCAAACTCGAGAACAAATATCGGAGACTTTCAGGGCATCAAAGATGTTACTTTATTGGCCAAGTTTAACCTGCGCAGGGGCGAACTCTCAAAGTGTCCAGAGACACAGTGCCCGCAAGGAGCTGCAAACGAGAGACGCGTTGAGTGCTTACAACTACGTTCTTATATAGGGGCGGGCAAGCAAGCGTTATACAGAAGCAGACGTGGCAGTTAGTAATTCGCTTACAAAAACTGCGCGCGCGCGGGAATTTCAAACCAAACATTCTTTCATAAGGCGGGAAGGCAGGATGTTTGTTCATTAACCTAGTAATCTCCTGGCTCTAGCTAGCTAGTTTTCTATTTTCTCATTAAAAACTACAAAGCACTGCTTATCTGGCCTACCCAGGGAGAGCGTCTGCTAGACACAGGATGTTTGCTTTAACTGTACTTTGTCTCTTTTATCATTTCTTTTTAGCTACAATGTGGTTCTTGTCTATTAAGGTTAAATTTAGTTCTTAATTTCCTTGTTCCCAACAGCCAACTCACAGGGTAGTATTTTAGGAGTGCTAGAGAACAGCAATTCCTTAACCTGCGTTTATTTATGTTTCGAGTGTGGGATGGTCTGAACGCCCAATGAACTTCCCAAAGTCCCCCTACTGGGGAGGGTGTGGTCTATGCAGGACCAATGACGTCTCCCATGCAAGACTTGAAACCGGAAAAATACAGCATTGTTGCCAGTCACTGTCAGGATGGGCCGGGTAGGACAAAAGGGAGCCTGATTATAATCAATTATAGTGTTTGGACTACAAGTAGTATGGTGGCTGAACTATGACCTGGAAAAGATAGCTGAGGTCAGACCAGGAACCACCAATGATATGTTGCTGCTTTGTTCACAAGGAACCAACCCCCAGCTCCCACAGAGAGCCAAGCCAGAATAAAACCCCACCATTTTTCCTGCTCCGAGTGACTTCTCTGGCCCCCTTACTCAGGACCAGAGATCCTCACCTGGAAGTGCAACCCCAATAAAATCCTGTTTTACCCCCTTTGTGCCTGATTCAATTTTCTTCCTCTGCAGAAAAACCTTACAGTCACTTACCGAACCCTGTAAAGCATAGACAGGGATTCAATCTTTGTGGGCGCTTTATTCAGATGGCCAGCATCTGAGAAAACAGTGGATTCATACTCTAATGGACCATCTTAAATTCCATTTTAAAACGGCCCTTTTTATAAGGAGAACAAGGTGTGGGTAAGGGGTTTAGAATTCAGGGGAAAGTAAATTGGAGTAAAAAAACCTGCAGCATCCTCTTTCTAAGTGGTGGTCTTTAGCTGTGTCCTGTGGGGTGGTCACCTCATTCTGGAGTACAATGGCTCAGATACCATCTTAAATTGCTCACAGACCTCCTGAGACAAAGGTGGAACTGCTTATGGTCACCTGGAATCAGGGTGGGTAATACCTTCAGTTCCTGGAACAATAGCTTTTACATGCATTGATTACTGAGCTTATTAGCTATTACTAAACTAAAACTCCCCAACTCTTAAGTCCCCTATCAGACTGTCAGGCTAGTCTTTGGTCCAGCACCTCCCCCCAGAAGACTTTCTGACCTTTTTGATCCCCACCCAATCAGGTATGAGCAGGGGATAGGAGGGCTTTTCCCCTATCCAATCATCTTCACAGCACAGGGCCTCCTCTTTGCAGTACTCACTTCCTGCTGCTGTCCACTTGCCTGGGGGAAGGTATCTGCCTCCAGGATAGGACACTCCCTGTGAAAAAACCCTGGAGCTCTGTTACCAAGGCAACGCCCCCTGCTACGACAGCCTCACGGATTCCCAGGGCTAGTAGAGATCTACTCATGTGGTCCCTTCTCTTCCTGCCCTTGCCTTACCCCAGGGGTCCTGCCTGGCCATCTGTATCCTTAAGATGTATAGATACATTTAGTCTTGACAGCCAAGCTACTTTCCACGTGAGGATGTGATACAAACAAGGGAGGGCAGAGAAGAGGAAATTGGGGGCGCTGGGGTGGGAAAGAGGTCTCCTGGCCTGGGACCTTTTACACTATAAACTACAGAGCCAAGTACAAAAGCATTTGCTGAATGTCTGAATGAACACAAAAATGCCAACTGCAGCCACCTTAGATGGTGATTAATGACTTCTTTTCCTTTCATTCTTTTCCCTTGCTCACTGGAATATATGTACTTGATTTTAGAGAGAGAGGAAGTGAGACAGAGAAATAGATGTGAGAGGAAAATCCATTTGTTGTGATCCACAGCGTTTTGGTGCAAGGGATCATGCTCCATCTAAGTGAGTCACCTGGCCACGACTAATGTGGCCCACAACCCAAACATGTGCCCTGACCAAGAATCAAACTGGCGATCTCTGTTTGCTGGCTAACGTTCAGTCCACTGAACCACACTAGCCAGGGAAGCCATATAGTCTATGATTTTTTTTTGAAGGATTAGGGGAATAAATATGATGCTTATAAATGTAAAATATTACAAAGATTTAGTATGGTCCACTCATTATATAAGCCCTGGCTGGTGTGGCTCAGTGGATTGAGCACCAGTCTGCAAACCAAGGGGTCACTGATTCGATTCCCAGTCAGGGCACATGCTTGAGTTGTGTGCCAGGTCTCCAGTAGGAGTGTGAAAGAGGAAAGCACACATTGATGATTCTCTCCCACTTGTTCTCCCTCCCTTCTCCTCTCTCTAAAAATAATACATAAAATCTTACAAAACAAACAAAGAAAATCT